TCTTCTTCTTCTTCTCTCCTGTTCCATCTCCTGTTCCATCTCCTCACCTTCGCCACAAAATGTGACACCTGTCTCGCAACACTTATCACTTTCACCGCTCAGATAGGGTTCGCAGCTAGAGGAAGCGGTCCCCATCTCGAACCCTAAATGCTGCAGATTCATCGAGTTCATCAAGCCCCTCGGAGAGATTAGCTACTTCGCAGCAGCCGCAACCAATTGCGATGTTCGGGTCCTGGACCGGATTGGCCGGCCTAGGTACTTTGAAGTTCTTACTCCCCTCTCATGCAGTCAGTGCTGGTGTTGGGATGTTGGTTGTTAGTGCTTAACTTAGTCAAGAAAGGCGGCTTGCGTTCCCGTTCGTCCAGTTGCCTGCTGCCTGCTGCCTGCTTACTGGAGTAGTGTTCGGAGTACGGCTCTTCTTCATTTTGGGGGGGTTGTTGTCAAAAGTTGTTATATGTTTCTTATGTTCGCTTGAAAGTCCACGCCCTCCCCCCCCCCTCATCCTCCTCCTCTTCCTCCTCCTCCCGCCAGTCACCAATACGAGAAGGCAAGTTCTGCATCGGGATCTATACGACGACGGCGAGTGTTAGCTGCATAAAATTCCGCCTCCATCCGTTGAATTCATCTCATCTCACTCCGAACTTCACTCGCCGATGACTCAACCCGATCAATTTTTCCTAATCCACCCTCTCACGACCGACCAGTCACTTTCTGACTAAGGTTTCTCGGAATCATCATTCACTTCACTTCTCCTCTCATATCCGCTTTATACGCCATACGTCTATAAATGACGGGTTGGCCTGACTTGGATCCTCGAGACATGATCGCCACATCCTAACTCTCCAGGGGAAAAAAAAAAAAAAAAAAAAAAAAAAAAAAACAAATCAGCACAAAGACAGCATAAGATGCTCGAGACCGTTTCGATATCCCTTGCCACTGGCGCCTGCAGTCTCGCTCTCGTTTCCTTGATCACCATCCCTTCACTTCTCGGCATCTCATCCCACTTACGGAGCTTCAAACCGCTACCGGGCATCTACGAAGACAGAGATGGAGTCGCCACCGCAAGATCCGTAGCCGAGTATAGCAGCAAGCTTCCGAAAGCCCTGCTCGCCTTCTTCACAGGCGCAGGATTGCTCACCTCGATTGCTCTCGCTGTTCTCGCCACGCTTGGAGATGGGGGATCCATGTTCGTGGAGAACTGGCTGTTGGTCGCGGAATGGGTGAGCTAGCTCCACGTGACGGAGCGAGAGATTGAACTCTCAAGTGCTGACCTGATATATGTCTAGTCCCTGATCCTGGTCCAGACAGTCGGAATCATCCTCATCAAAAGCTCCGTCAAAAGCTACACTTTGGGGGTCTATACAGCTCTCTCCTCCGTTTCACTGCTCGCAGCCCTCTTGTACCAAGATGGACTTATTGCACAGCAAACGGCGGGTGAAAGATACGTCTCTTCCGCGGAACTGAGTCTCCGCATTACCCAGCTTTTCTTGGTCGTTCTGGTGACATTCTCCAGCGTCTCTCTACCAAGACGACCGGAAGTGTTTCATAATGGCGTGCCAGTTGATGGCATGCAGACTGTTTCTGCATTTGATAGATATACCTTTACATGGGTCGAGCATCTCCTCCGCCTCTCCCGCCAAAACAACCGCATTGAACTGGTAGACCTCCCCAAGATGGACTCAAATACCCGGTCCCAAGATCTAAGCGAGTCCTGGGCCGAGAAGCCCCATCCGAAGAAGTTATGGGTGGAGATCTTTTTGGACCACAGTCGCAGTTTTAGGAACCAATGGTGCCTCACTTTGATCCAAGCATTCGGAAACTTTGCCCCTCAGTTCGTAACCTACCACCTCCTGAAGATCCTCGAAAAGCGTGTCTCAGGCGACACAGTCAGCCCCGAGGCGTGGATCTGGGTCGTCGTTCTAACCATCACGACAATCGGAGCCTCCTGGATCGAATCATGGCTCTACTGGGTCTCTTGGTCCGAACTCGCCATCCCGATCCGCGCCCAGCTATCGGCGCTCATCTTCCAGAAAGCCATGCGTCGCAAGGACGTCAAAGGAGCCGCGAAGGCATCGAAAAAGAAGGTGCCTGCTGGTCCGGATACGGCGAGTGTGGCAGGCAACAAGCCGGAGCTGAACGACGAGGAGGGCGAGAACAAGGGGAAGCAGTCTACTGTTAATCTGATCGGTGTCGATACCAAGCGCGTCTCGGATTTCTGCTCGTTCAACAATTATCTGCCTGGTAGTCTTTTCAAGCTGATTGTGTCGTTCGCCTTCTTGCTGAGCATCATTGGGTGGAAGGCTCTGGTGGCGGGATTCTTGGCTATGTCGTTGACGATCCCGTTGAATATCTTTTGTAGCAAGAGGTATTCTGCTGCGCAGGACAGATTGATGAAAGTGAGAGATGTGAAGATGGGGGTTGTGACGGAGGCCTTGCAAGGTATGTATTCTGGGAATTTGGAGAAAATCTCTGACGATATTAGGTATCCGACAGATCAAGTTCTCTGCTTTAGAGCAGAACTGGCAAAGAAAGATCGGAAAGGTACGACGTAAAGAATTGGAAGAGCAGTGGAATGTCTATCTGTAAGTTGCAAGCCACGTGGAAGTAGGATTAGCTAACTAGCCAGCTCCGACACGTTCCTGCTATTCTGTTGGATCACTTCCCCAGTTGCGCTAGCCGCCACTTCCCTTGCAGTCTACGCCTCGATTTACGGCGAGCTGACCCCGTCCGTAGCCTTTACAGCTATCGGCGTCTTTACCAATCTTGAAGTCACACTTTCTGTGATCCCAGAACTAACCACCGACCTCATCGACGCCTACGTCTCTATGGAACGCATTGAGAAATACCTCGGTGCCCCCGAAATCTCCCAAAACACTAGTCACGGCCCCAACATCGCCTTCGAGAATGCCTCCATTGCCTGGCCCTCTGATGAAGAAAAGGAGGTCGACGATCTCCGCTACGTCCTGCGTGATATCAATCTATCGTTTCCACCAGATGAGCTGAGCGTAGTCAGTGGAAAGACTGGGACGGGGAAGAGTCTTCTGTTAGCTGCTATTCTGGGGGAAGTTGATCTACTTGCTGGGAAGATCAATGTGCCGCAGCCGCCTCGTAGCCGAGATCGCCACGACCATCTCGCCAATAAGGACAACTGGATTATTCCGTCGGCCGTGGCCTTCGTCGCTCAAATTCCGTGGATCGAAAACGCGAACATCAAGGATAACATCCTGTTTGGCCTTCCGTACGACGAATACAGATATCAGAAAGTTATTGAGGTCTGTGCATTGAAGAAGGATCTGGAAATGCTCACTGATGGTGAAGCGACTGAGATTGGAGCTAACGGGATCAACCTGAGCGGTGGTCAGCGTTGGAGAGTTACGTTCGCACGAGCGCTTTATTCCCGTGCTGGGATCTTGGTGCTGGACGATCTTTTCAGCGCCGTGGACTCGCATGTTGCACGATTTATCTTCGAAAAGGGCCTCACAGGTGAGCTGGGAGTCGGCCGAACGAGAATCCTGGTTACACATCACGTGGCCCTATGCAAATCGAAGACGAAGTACGTTGTGGAGCTTGGCGATGGGACAATCGAACATGCAGGTCTCGTCTCTGAGCTGGAAAACGATGGTACTCTTCAACAGATCATTAACCATGAAGCAGCTGAGGTTGAAAATCCGGATGACGAGGATCCCACAGCTGTCAACTCGGCGGAATCGAGTAATGGGGATAGTGCTGAGGCTGGAGAGGCGCTTAAGAAGGTCGACTCGAAGAGGGCGGTCAAGAAGTTTGTGGAAGACGAAGTGAGAGAGCAGGGGCGGGTTAAGACGAAGATTTATCTGGACTATATGACGTTCAGCGGTGGTTGGGCGTTTTGGTCTGTTGCTTTTATTGCGTTCTCGCTTTTGCAGGTGATTGTTACTGGTAAGCTCGTGTGGTCAACTTATGTCAGAACTTACTGCTCACATCACTAGGTCGATCCTGGTGGATCAAGATCTGGACCGGCAACAACGAGAAGCACACAAGTATGACCCATGCCTTCACCTACTCCTACCAAGTCCACGATCTCTCCCCCTACAGAGCAAATGCCACGCACATCATGACTACAGATTCTTCAGCAAATCTGAGGTACTACCTTGGTATCTACGTTGCATTCTCTGTCGCAAATGTAATCGTAGGAGCTTTCCGATATTGGTACATTTTCACAGGCTCCATTCGGGCGTCTCGTCGCCTCTTTGACAAGCTCTCCTTCACCATTCTGCGTACACCCCTCAGATGGATGGATACTGTGCCACTCGGCCGTATCCTCAACCGCTTCACAGCCGACTTCAACGTCGTCGACGCCCGTCTCTCAGCAGATATTGGTTTCGGTGCCAACAACGCTTTCCGCTTATTCGGAATTTTGATCGCTGGCGTAATTGTGTCGCCCTACGTGATCTTGCTCTCCTTCTCCCTACTCGCCATCTGCCTGCAAATTGCCCGCCTCTACATCTCGGGCGCGCGAGAAGTCAAACGCCTCGAGTCCTCGGCAAAGTCTCCGGTATTCGAGCAGTTTGGCTCAGCCCTCACTGGCGTAGGCACGATCCGCGCCTTTGACAAGAGCGATGTCTATATCGCCCGCATGTTCTCCCGGATCGACGACCATAGCACTTCCTTCTGGCATCTCTGGGCCTTCAACCGGTGGATGGGATGGCGGATGTCTGCGGTCGGGGGTTTATTCGCCAGCTTTGTCGCTGCCTTTATTATTTTTCTGGACATTGACGCCTCGCTTGCCGGGTTTGCCCTCTCCTTTGCCTTGGAGTACGGCAATACAGTGATTTGGACGATCCGACATTACACCAACCTAGAACTGGACATGAACGCTGCCGAGCGCATCATCGAATACATCAACCTTCCCACCGAGTCCCTCTCCGGCACCGACCCGCCAGCCGCCTGGCCGTCAGAGGGACGATTGGAAGTCACAGATCTCGTGGTCGGATACGCCCCCGACCTCCCCCCAGTCCTAAAAGGCCTGACATTCTCCGTGCAGCGTAACGAGAGGATCGGCGTCGTGGGCCGTACTGGCGCAGGAAAATCCTCTCTAACCCTCGCCCTCTTCCGCTTCCTCGAAGCGCGCGAAGGGAGCATCTATATCGACGGCTTGGATATCTCCAAGATCAAGCTCCACGCTTTGCGCTCTCGCCTAGCCATCATCCCACAGGACCCTGTGCTCTTCTCCGGCACGGTGCGAAGTAACCTCGACGCCTTCGACGAGCACTCCGACGCTGAGCTACGAGACGCCTTGCAGCGTGTCCATCTCATCTCTGCGTCAGAAGCGGACAGTATTAACGTCTCGTTAGCCAACACGGGCACAAACACGCCTCTTCCCCGTCCGGGCTCTAGTTCCGCGAACAACGCAGCGATAGCAGGCGCAAGCTCGACTGCCAATGTGAACGCAACACCTAACCTCAACAAGAATCCATTTACCTCCCTCCACACGCCCATCACGGAAGGTGGCCTGAACCTCTCCCAGGGGCAACGTCAACTCCTCTGCCTCGCGCGCGCGATCGTCTCGCGGCCCAAGATAATGATTCTGGACGAGGCCACCTCTTCGGTCGACATGGCGACGGATGCACTCATCCAGCGCTCCATCCGCGAGGAGTTCAACGACAGCACGCTCATCGTGATCGCGCACCGGCTGAGCACGATTGCGGACTTTGACAAGATTCTTGTGATGGGTGAGGGCAGGGGGGTGGAGTTTGGGACGCCGAGGGAACTTTTCCAGCGTGTTCCTGATGGGGTTTTCCGGAGTATGGTTTTGGAAAGTGGGGAGAGGCAGAGTTTGGAGGCTTTGATGGGGGGTTGAGGGGGCGAAGGGGTAGGAGTAAATGGGATTAAATGGAATGGAATATGATGAAATTGGGTAGGTTACGTCGAGCCGGCGCCAAGCATACGCATAAGCATAAGCATCGAGAATCCATGGCGTTGGTTTTTTCTCTTTTTTTTTCTTTTGAAAATATGCTTAAATTTTTCTTTCTTCTTCTTCTCTTTTCTTCTTTCTCTTTTCATTTTTCTCATGTTGGCTGAAGGAAGGAGATGAGGGTCAGTCAGGGTAAGGGAGAAATGGATGAATGGATAGATAACATGCAGCTAACTGGTTATATATATATATATAATTTCTTTAAATATCAGTGCATTGAACGAATGAAGGAATGAAGGAATTAAAGTAGATGAATAACGAGGAGGTTTTCTGCTTCTGTGGGTGGGGGGTAAGGGTATTGCTATTGCTATTGCTATTGCTGTTGCTATTGCTGTTGCTGAGATTGAAGTGATCTGGATAGATTTGGTGAGGTTTTGATGTGGAGGCTTTTTTTTTTTTGCTTTACGCTTTATGCTTTATGCTTTGTGGAGTTTACTTGGGATTTGGAAGATTTGAAAATTTGAGGGAGGAAAGGGGGGGATGCGGGGAAGAGGAATGAGGTGAGTGTAGATGTGGGTGTGGATGTGGATGTGGGTGTGGGTGTGGGTGTGAAGAATGGAATGGGATGGGATAAGCAGGATAGGATACAGTACTAGGCAACTGCTGTTGGCCACTTAAGCGAGAACATCAAAATCAACATTGGACATTCAGCTATCACTTCTCAATCACGCAATAATTACAAATCCAAATCAAACAAAAAAAGAATACCATTCTATTCTTCAGACTCCCTTTACTCTTCTCAATTTTTAAGCTACTTATTCGAATGCGCACCGACCTCTGTACTTAGCATGCCAGCCTTCGGCCGCGATACAAGCCTCAATTCTCTCCGGCATACTCTGATACAAATTATCACATAACGACTGATCCAACGTATCTCACGCAGCTTGAAAATAGCTTTCCATCCTTTGCCTGGCGTGTTCTGAATTCGATTTCGTCGATTGCAACGTCGGAGAACATTTAGTAGAGCTTCTTTTTGAGATGCTACAAAACAAATGGAAAAAAAGAAAGAAAAAGAAAAAGAAAAAGAAAAAAAAAAAAAAAAAAAAACCTAGGTGACGGAGAAGCAGATAGCAAGAGGAGAAATAGCGAAAGTCTTTCAGAAGCTCCGCATGCATTAGGCGGCGGAGGTCACGGAATACCAAATTTGATTGGAAAAAAAAATAGAAAAAAAAATTCTTTTTTCGAATATTCAGAATTCCATTTCCTTTCTCTAGCAGCTCGAAAGCTCGAAAGCGGAAAAACCTCAGATGATCGAGAATCGAGATTGGAGTAGGCTGACGACGTATATATGTACCAGCCAGACCGAGACCAGCTAGCCGGATATTCTTGTTAAATAAATTTAAGGATGATATGCGAAGGTTCTGTATAAATTTTTATTTTTTTATTTTTTTTTCTTTGCGGCCATCGGCTCTCGGACAGTGCATTGAATTATCACTAGTCGGATATCGAGATATCTAGATATCTCCAGAGGGGAGCAAGAAAAGCCTGTTGCTGCTGGCTATAGGGCGGGCTCTTGGGCGAATGGAGAGCTGAAGTCGAGGGAGGCAGTTTGATTGATCTATTTAGAGGGTAAGGATAAGTAGATGGGGCTTTTTTGGGGGAGGGGGTCTTTTAAGGAGTTTTCCTTTAAGGAGGGTTTTAAGGACTGTCTATGATTATGACTGTGATTGTAACTGTGACTGTGATTAGGACTGTGATTGTAATTGTGATTATGATATCAAAGGGCATTGAGTTTTTGTTCTAATGGCTTTGGGATTTGGAATTGGTTATTATAAGATAGGTAGTTATTATACGCGTGGCTTATTTCCATATTCATTTATCATTTTCTGTTAAGTTCAGAGGGAGTAGAAAAAAATTCACTTACTTGTTTATACGTGATCCTCTACTATCCGCGGCATCATCATCATCATCATCGCGTCATGTATATATCTCGGCCCGCTCCTGTCCCTTTCCTTTTCCCTTTCTTTATCTATTTCTTTTTCTATTTCCATCTCCTTTTTTATCTCCTTTTATATATCCCTTTTCATGTCCTTTTCCATCTTCCTTATCATCTCCTTTTCCATCTCCCTTTCAATCTCCCTTTCTCTCCTTTTTCATCTCCCTTTCCATCTCCTCAGTCCTACCACAGCCCTGATTCAGATCCCGATCCCGATCGCGATGGCCCCCCAGTGCTGACACGCTAACGACGCTCACCACCATCGTCTGCACAATACACCGCTTTCCACCCCTATCCCTATCCCGAGTAGGTACTACTCATCCTGCTCTCCAAGCCCAGCTGCTGCTGCAGCGGCACGATGTTCTTCTCGCTAATGCCATCCTCCAGATCGCGCCTGACCGGGTTCAGCTTCGGGTTCCCACCCCGCAGCTCTTGCTCTTTGCATACTTCGTAAACCGGCTAGACAGCACGGCAGAGTGCCTCTGCTGTGGTTGTGAAGATCCCGGCGCCGGGAAGAGGCGCAGATGGTACGGTGCGTTCCTCCGGCGGCCGCCGGCTAATTTGGAGCCGTGGCAGGGGCTGGTGGAGAAGTACCAGGAGGTGTTGTCGAGCATGTGCTTGAAAATTGGTTTGAGTCAGGGTGAGGGAGGCGGCGATGATGCAGACGTTGACTTTGGTTCTGGGAGAGGGAAGGGGGGAGCGGTTAGCGTGTCTCGCTAATAGGCCTCTCTCGCTAAGCGAGGAGCGCGTATAAACACACCATATATATACTACTATATATATATATATATAAACTCCGAGAAGAGTATGGGATTGGTAACCTGCACCCCCCAAAACCCTAAAACGCATCCCCCTGAGTATTCAAATGCCCGGCCCAGCCGAATATTCGGATTTCACAGTAACGCTTCCTTGTAACGGTCAGCAATCGCGATCGCTCGTACAATCTATATTCTACTATATTCAAATGGATGCCTAGGATCTGCATGCTTAGGCTCCTCCACAAGTCTTGTCAGAGGCGGAGGATGTTTCGCAACTAAGATCTGGGCCCAAAGAGATGAATTTACGAAGGTCTAGATTTTAAGAAATACGGATAAGGCCTTGTCGCACGCAAAAGGAGACATTTGCTAGTACCTTTTCGTGCTTAGCACGGGCCGGGAATTTGGATATTCCGGGGGATGTGATTTAGGGTTTTGGAGGGTGCAGATTCCCAAAGTTAAACCCCGGAAGTCTGGGTTTGGAAAGCAGAGCGAGTCTTAATAGTGGGCCTTGACGTCGCAACTTTTGGGGCCTTTCCTTACTAAAGTAACCGAAACAATTATGTCTCGCGAAACAATTGTATTCCGCACCGATTTTCTAATAATATTAGATTGAAAAGAAATTTCAACCTTGTGAAATAATATTTTCGAATCAAATATTTACTTAAGTACCTTGATAGAAGTCGATTATTTTCGTATCTACAATACAATTAATAATATACTATTATAAATGTTATTCGAACCTTTATAGCTGAATATATTATTATATCGTTTGTGCGAGATCTTTTTACGATTCGCGCGAAAATTTTTATAACTTGCAATATTGAATACGCTTTTCGAGATATTACAATAGAGCTATGGTAAGGAGGTCGGAAGAGTCCGGTCTTGCCGTAGTTGATCAGTTTTGTCGTTTTGATGATCGAGGCGGCGGATGCACTGGAGCATGAGCTGTTAGCGCGCTTTTCCCCAATGTAAAATTGACTCTTGGAGGTAGGATTAAGAGAGTGAGGAGGTATACAGAGTAATACTCACAAGAGACCCAAGGGCATGATGACAGCGAGCGATATATTGACTCTACGGAGTTGATCTGGACGTTCCAGAGCATCGGAATCGGGATCAGCGCAAGGATGAGATCCGTAGCGATAGTCAGACCCGGTGAGACGGTTTAGTCTTGAGACTTTGGCAGCGGGGCTAGCTTCAGAGACTGACCAGTGTTGGTATAGCTGAGTTTACGGCCCAAGTCCGCGCTCCAGCAAGTCGTGACCACTTATGGATCCCACAGAATTGCCAAGTTCTTGCATTGCGCCAGGACCGTGAAGACCGCGAGTGTCGTACGGAGTATACTCCGGGTATGATCATGAAATAGATCATGCCCCATAGAAAATTTCGCAAGCCCTTGTTCGGGGCGAAGCGGAGCAGGAAGAGGGCTATCGAGACTTTGGATGTCGTGGTGGTAATCAGGTAGATGGGTTGCGTGGCGAAGTTGGGCTTCAGACCGACTATCTGTACGCGGTCGAGGTATATCGCGTGAAGTCTTGAATCATTGTTGACCGATGGGGTGACCAAGCAGCCACCCCGCTATAGATAGGATCTGGAATTACGTATTAGAGCATATTCATCAAGCCTATATGGGAACAGACTTTAACATAATCCTGTGCCTGGTGAGACGGTGAGACTAAAATATGCTTCCCAGTAAACTTACACCTGCTCCTACACTCCGCTCCGAATCATCATTCGCACCCTAGCAGCACACGAAGCAGTCAGCGATTGCCCCCTTTTTTGTCTCCAGGACATTTTCGGGAACGGATACAGGAAGGCCCGAGCTACGGACAGATACGACTCGCTTATAGTTAAACACTACCGAGGTTTTTAAATGCCAAAGCTTCTTTTCCATTGTACGGATAAGCAACGTGGCCACTGGCTAAGCATCGAATAGTCCTTTCTTTTTTTTTGCCTTTTTTTTTGGATAGGGTAAGTTCTTGCTATTTTAATAAGCTTTCATTCTACCAGGCTGTATACCACCCCTGCACCTCGTAAACAACGCCGTCTCATCGCTTCAATTAAAGCAACAACTCTATATTTTTCGATCGAGTCCCGCGCTTATTGAACAACTCTTTCTAGTCGATGATATTTTTTAATAAACCTCGAGATATTTCTTTCGAATTTAATATTTTATTTGATTCCAAACCGTCTCGATCGGGTTAAGATCTAGAGGTAAAGCTATCCGATCGGCTCGATACTATAAGCTTCCAAAACCTTCAGTATAAATCGAGCAGCATTTCCATTAGCATTATCTTAATGAGACTCCAATTCTAGATAATCGTAGAGAATTTATCGATGATTGGTACTCGTGCGGCCAAGGAGTCTGTCCGCCAAGGCAAAAATTGCTCAAAAAGATGCTGATAACTGCTCTACCTCCGCTCCGTACGAGCGGAGCGGATTTATATAAAGGCTACGAAGGCGAGCTTTTTTTAGCTCTACGATAAAGAGAAAAAAAGCCCTCCATATTTATATTTATACAAATCGAAGCCGCTCGAAAAGCTATAGGGACTCGTTAGATGACGAAAGAAAACTCGGCGTACATTCTGATAAAATGCTTTTAAAAGATTTATAAAGAGTTTGCAATACCGCGGGATTAAAAACCCGGGGCTATTTAAAAGAAAGCTTTTTCTTAACGATGTCTTTACTTTCGATTGAATAGTACTTTGTATATGATTCCTTTATTTGGGACGTCACCGTACCTTATAAAAGGTCCTAAAGTCAAAGCATTGCGTTTGAAATACCCGCCCGACGTTAATAAATATAATAATAATTACAACCGGCAGATAAAATGAAATCATCCGTCGATTCAAGCTTTATCGCCTCTCCCGAAGCATTTGCCGGCCAAGACCAACCGGCTGTACCAAACATACTTTCCGCTAAGTCGAAGCGCTCGTTGCGGAGGTACAGCGGCTAAATAATTCCCCTTTGATCCATTACGGAAACTAGCTTAATCGAACAACACCTTTACAATCCTCCGCTCCGTATCGCTGAACGCGATAATATGTTATATATATTCGATAGAATTAAGAAGTAATTTATATTGATATTTTATAAACTTCTTGTCAGCCTCGATTATGAGCCGATAACGCTCTAATATACTCTTAACGAGCGCTAGAAATTTAAATTCGCCTATGTTTTTCTAACGATACGAAGAGAAGGGTCGTAGAAGTATTGCTCGATGGATTAAGCTAGTTTGCGAAGTAGATTGAAACAAAAGGGTTACTTGACCGCTGTACCTCCGTAGATTAGTATTCGTAGCAAATAAAGGATGTAAAGGGGGAGGGTTGGTTAGGGATCGGAGGTTAGAAGTTGGCGTGCGTTGTTTTATAGTTTTGATAGGAATGCATAAATAATATATTTAATATTCAACTGTGTGCGGCAGTAATAGGTACGGCGGCAGTAGATATCAGCCGCATTTATAAGGACTGGTTGTGTCGTCGCTTAATTGCAGGAGTACCCGTTAGCGTGGGATATAGCAACCCGCGCCTGCCAAAATGGAAGGGGCTCGGAAATTAGCATTAATAGCTACACGCAGAAAAACGCCAGTGTTTCTTTCAGATATCGGAAAAGAATTCGATCGAATTGCCGTATCGGCTGCATCTGTTATATCGTTATTAATTTAAGTGTTGGTTTTATCGTCTATATCGGTTTTTGAATATTTTATCGAATATATCAGTCTATAAATATTTTATCGTATATATCGTTATCAGTTATATTGGTTTTGGATTAATCATTAGATCGAGACCAAAAGGAAACTCAGGTCGAGATAAAAGGTAAAAAAGCATTACGATATGCTAAGGTAAGGTGAGCTCTTTGCCGGAAAAACAATCGTTCAAAAGCTGCTAAAGATTTCGTTATAATCTTCGATTACTAGTTTGTATATTGCAAAGCTGAAGGCAACTATAATACTGATTCTAGAGATAAAGAATCATATCCCTCCCTTCCTTCGCTTCCGTTTTCATAAATCATATAATGAGCCAGGTGAATCGGAAACCGGAAACCAAAAACCGAAAACCGTGAACAGGGAGCTGTGAACTATGAACTATGAAAGCAGAATTTCTAGCACAGCATAAGGTTTATACATTACAAGCTTGGTGAAGAACACCTGCCAATCTCATTTCTTCCCTACCATTAACTGAATCCACATCGTGCTGCGTATATGATAGGCTATTAAAAATTAATAAATCGTATTCAATGATCATATATTAACGATCGAACCCTAATATAAGGATAGAAGAGGCTAGAAGCGACGGAACTGCTATAAAACCCCAAGTTACCATCCTTTCTTTTTAAAATCCCATCTTCATCGTCACTATCCTGAGTAGCCTTCTCAGCCTGCCAGTCTTCCCGACAATTTAGCTACTGTTGCGCCTCAGATATCAATAAACATGCGGCTCCAATTCGTCGTCAACGTTGCCCTCATCGTAGGGGCGACAGTGGCTCGTCCAGTTATGGATTCAAACGCTGCTGCACATGCGACACTTGACAATCTAGCATCAATTGCGAGGAGGAATCAAGACAGCTTTTTTTTCGGGGCATATATGCAAAGACCAAATGGCAAAACCTGTACAAAGTCCAATATGTTGGTGCGAAAAGAATGGTAGGCACTCAAATCTGGATCAGTCGAATGGCATCTAAAACCTAGCGCAGGGGATCTCTCAGCTCAGAGGAGAGGATAGCATACACAGATGCCGTTCTGTGCTTCCAGAAGAAGGCGCCTTTGACTCCAACGAGTCTTATACCGGGTGTTAGATCCAGATACGATGATTTTGTTGGGACACACATCAACCAAACTCAGAACATCCATTATACAGTAAGCGCATTGTAAACTGTCCATCTACGCTGAGACTGATGATCGTTCTCCTGAGGGGACTTTCCTCGCCTGGCACAGATACTTCACCTGGATGTACGAGAAAGCTCTTCGCGATGAGTGTGGCTACACGGGTGCGCAACCATACTGTATGTATTTGGAGAGTCTATCTTTTCCCGTCTCAGCACATCTTGCTCTACTCCCGGAACATTTATTCCCAGTCAGAAAAGTACTGACTCCCTGGTGCTATACAGGGAACTGGGGTCTCTTCTCCAATGATACCACCAGTGGTCCGGTATTCGATGGAAGCGCGACTAGCATGTCTGGCAACGGACTCTACATTCCGGGCAGAGGAGACCTCACCCTCGCTCTTCCTGGCCACCGCGATGTACTTATCTCAGCAGCCAATGGCGGTGGATGTGTCTCTTCGGGACCATTCAAAAACATGACTGTCAATCTCGGACCTAGCGCTCTTCCCCTCAACGGCGGCAAAAGCCAAACCGGCAGTGGACTCGACTACAACCCTCGATGTCTGACGCGCGATATTAGTTCCAAGGTCAATGACAAGTTCGCGAACGCGACCGCCATCTTGGATCTGATCACCGAAAATTGGGACATTGATTCGTTCCAGACTGTCTTGCAAGGCGTCCCAGGCTCGGGAAGCCTCGGCGTGCATGGGGGTGGACACTTCACTATCGCCGGTGATCCAGCAGCCGACGGGTTCGCTTCGCCCGGGGACCCGGCTTTCTATCTACACCATAGCATGGTTGACCGCGTCTGGTGGATGTGGGTAAGTTTAATCATCGGGCAGCCGCCCTTTTCCTTTGTGTCCCGGGATATACCACCCAGCTCCTAACACTACTCCCAAGACACACATAATCACGAATATATGCTAACGATCCGATCTCCATTCAGCAAATGCAAGACCCGAAAAAGCGCCTGAAAGCCATATCCGGCACCGGAACATTCTTAAATATCCCACCCTCGCCCAACACTACCCTCGAAACACCCGTCGACATGGGATATGCTGCCACCCCCGGCTACGGTCCCGTCGCTATGAAAGATTTGATGAGCATCACCGCCGGTCCTTTCTGTTACACTTACGACTCCTTGTAAAGAGTGAGTAACTTTCACTTCGCGCAAGATCGCCCTCGGCATCAAAAATAATTTAGCGACGTCGTCTTTGAAGCGTATCTCTTCGTCCTGGCAGACGAATCATATTTTTCTTTCGTTCCGCTAGCAATACGGTCCTAATTTTGATATATGTACATATCACGGCTTATAATGAGCTTAAAGTGCCTACTTTGTAAAGAAAACCTGGTTGATAGATGAAGAGGAAATAAAAAGCACAAATTGTTTCACGGTTTTACTTTCTTTCTTTTCGTATCAGCTTTCTGCGTTCGGCTAAAATCGATTCACCGTTTAACATCTATGAACGACTGCGTTATAGAAATGGGTTCTTATAACGGAAGAAATCCTATCTATTCGCTCGCTTTGAATTAAGACTGTAAGTATTCAAAATAGATAGTAATTGGAATTGTATTTCCAAGAAACCGTTTATATCACTACCCCCCACCCCATGTATACGAAAAGGGCAGGATCCCAAGGGTGGCACGGATAAACTTTTGCGGTGTTTTGGCTCGTGCCACCCGCCACCCTTGAGATGCTGCCCTTTATACATGGAGGGTAGTAAAAAATAAAAACAAAGGAAGAAAAGAATAACCATACGTGGTATATATAAATTACCAATTTCTCGTGTTGGCTGGCGTACCTACTACTTATCAGACCTTAGAAAAACTTTTCTCTTCTCGTTAATTTTTTTTCCATCCAAATTGTTTTTTTTATCTTTTTTTTTTATATCTTTTTCAATAAAGAAAAAAGCGAATATTCTCAATCAAAATCTGATATCATCTTTTTAATGCTCTTTAAATAAAGAAAGACAGGTATTAGTTTTCGCTAAAAGGGCTTCGTTTTATCCCTTCCCGCGCCAGGTGGCACGCTCGCTTAGGATGCCGGTTTCCGCTTTTTGCATACGAAATGTTAGATCATATAATCTCCAAACTTTTATTTGAAAATATTCATAGAAATATCGGGCCTTTAATATGCAGACCTAAACCTATTTTACCAAGTTATGTTGAATGCTTGCCGTGATGCAGTAAAGTGAAAGCTCTAAGGATCGAGGATTAAGCGAACGTGCCTTATAACGCAGGAAGGAACACGGCTTTAATAGAAACGAATTTTATTTAAAAAAAGAACGAGGAAATGAACTATAAATGGGTTAATAGTATTTTCATCTTCTTGGGGATGGAAGATGTAAGTAAGGTGTTGAGAGCGAAGAAAATATAGATTTACGATAAGAGAACGTATGGAAAGAAAGGTTTCCATTGGAGCGAGCACCTTTTGATAACGATGTTGAAGTCGTGGTGATGATTTTTTGCGTCCTGGCATCTGTATAAGTGCCTCTGGAGAGTATCGGCATTGATATTCGAGAGAGCGGCTTTGGATGGAAGCAGAAGAGGCTTGATGAACATCGGAAAGTTCATCCCTCTCGTCTCGAAAATTTTTGAGAGTGTTTGAATCTGACGGGATATCTTTAGGAGGAGATTCGGGTACGGCATAATTGACTATATCAAGATAGGTTATAGAATGGCGCCGAAGTCGTGATGGTGTAAACGGGCATTGTTCATTTAATCAACAGCCCCAGCGTAGGCTTATATTGTGAATAAAGACTGCTCTGCTTGCTTGCCTCTGTCAACTCGCTGAGATCACGACGTGGAGTGATGATAGGAACAGACATGAAATCACGAGAAATAAGAAATTGTAAGCGCCTTTGATCTTCAAAAAGCTTGGAGATAGTCGTTGGAGAGGTGTTTGATGGCAAAGGCATCCAGAGGTCCCGAGAATCGGGGTACGTAAATGATCGCCTGTCTATGCCTGCCCAGAGAAGTCCACCAACTTGTACCGGCCGAATCATGATATCGGCGTCTCTCTCTCTCTCTCTCTTTTTTTTTTTCACATGTGTGGATACAGAACGCTCATGTCGACGGGTGCACGTGACCGATCAAGAAAGGAAAGATAACGGGGGCTTACAGGACCACAAATGTTTGCCGGGATTGCCCCGGACGTACACATACTATTGGGCTGTGGTTATCTTCAGTTGATATACATAAGAGTGGACAGAGAAGATCGGATAGATGCGGTGATGGTCGTTTTGAGATAACTTACTACATCGTCTTTTAAGCGGCAAGCAGAAGCATCTGGATTGACTGTAGATGCGGACACAGGAGCGAGAGTCGCAAACATAACGGCGAGGATAGTGAAATTCATTCTGGTGATAACATATCGTTTCGTCAGCGAGGATTGGAGAATGATTGAATATTTGTTGTGTGTGTAGAGTGGTTGACGATGGGCATCAGAGTCGGGGTTATGCTGCTTTCTTTACATGCTCATCAGTGCATTTTCTAATGATCAATCCGCTATAGCTATAAATTCTAACGGGAGGTGAAAAGTTTCAGTAAAGAGGGGGCTCTTCTTCCTCTCCAATCCACGGGTCCAAAAAAGGATTGGAAAATGCACTTGTAAGGAGATACACGATGATGCCTGCACTCATCGCAACCCATTCCTTGACTGGCATTTGATAAGAGAATTTTTTTCTTTCCTATTCCCTGCATATCAGATCTTAAAATTGCAGGCAATGGTAGCGCTGGGTAGGGCCGGGCTGCTACTTAATCTAGGCGGACGGGGGTCTGTCATCCAAGGTGGCGTCTGGTAAATCGGGGAGCATGAACTTCTTGGAGAAATAAAACGATATTACGATTTATTTCTGATTTCGTTTACTAACTATTTTAAGTCCGGTTTCGAATTCACGATGCCGAGGATCGTTCGTTCTACCTTATTTTAATATGGGATGGGTATCCTTAGCATAATTCAGCTAAGTTGATAGTCAGCCATGGGCTCTTTTCTTTCTTTTTCTTTTTCTATTTATTTTTTAAAAAAAATTGGTAGAGCTTACTGCTGCAATGATTGACTGGGCATAATTTCGACTTTATATTTGAGATGATGTTTGACATAGGGATAGATATGCTGGCCACATGAGTACGATCACAACAGCTCGCTTAAGAAGTCACATGATACCAGCTCGTACTTACTGCCGGTACTTGCCAAGTCGTGCCGCGTATTCGCGTATTTAACCTTGCGGTAACAACATCATTAACGACTTTAATATTGCCACAATTCGAGCCAAATAAATGCCAGCGAATTAGATGGAGCCACAAATTGTATTTCTCTTGATTTGGCGCTAACGTTAAGCTTCTATATATACAGGCAGTATAGCCCATTACCCGCCACCTCAGCAGTCAATAACAACTGCACAGTTGCGACTACGAGCATCGGATCGAAAAATGATCAGCTTTGATTTTCTCAATGTACTTTTCCCAAACTTAAATGAAAATATTTATATTGACGCTAAATCGTCTCCATCTCCCCCAGATCTTCACGAAGGCAGGATCAGCTTTCTCCTTTCCCCTTAGCTCAACGCACAAACCTCGCTAAGACGGGCTGATCTAGCCTAACATCCACAAGAGCTGACATGCGCCTTCTCAACACGGCAACGTTCATCCTTTCGGACTTCACAGGGAGCGAGATCCCTCCCTATGCAATCCTCTCCCATCGATGGGAGGGCCATGAGATCACCTTCCAAGAGCTCGAGGATATCAAGGGCTCTGACCCCGCAGCCTTTGTGAATAGCGAGCAGGATGTGAATACTGCCGCCTGGTCCAAGATCAGAGGCTGCTGCGACCAGGCTCGGGTGCATGGCTATACCTGGATCTGGGTAGATTCGTGCTGCATCGATAAGTCCAGCAGCGCCGAGCTTTCCGAGGCGATCAATTCCATGTTCACGTGGTACGGGAAAGCCGGCGTATGCTATGCCTATCTGTCGGATGTGCGAAGCACGGATGGCGAAATAACGGCAGCGACAGGAGAGGAGTTTCAACGAAGCAAGTGGTTCAGCCGAGGTTGGACATTGCAGGAACTCCTGGCTCCGAAGCAAGTCATCTTCTGCGCGGCCGCTTGGCAACAACTAGGGAACAGACAGCAGCTCTGGCCTTTTATTTCGAAGGCCACGGGTATCGGTGATCTAGGGGGTTGGAGAACGGCTAGCATCGCTCAGAAAATGTCCTGGGCTTCGAGAAGAGAAACTACGAGGAGTGAGGACAAAGCGTATAGCTTGATGGGCTTGTTCGGAGTCAATATGCCGCCGTTGTACGGAGAAGGGGAGAACGCATTCATCAGGCTTCAGCTCGAGATCCTACGGATTTCCGACGACGAATCGATTTTTGCCTGGGCCGACGACAAGGATACTAGTGGCGGGTTGCTTGCTCGCTCGCCTACAGCATTTCAGAACTCTGGAGACTTTAGAAGGTTGGACGTCTTCCGATACGAGAAGGCGCCGTATTCGATGACGAACAAAGGGATCCGTGTTGAGTTGCCAGTATGCATCCCCGAGGAGCTGCATCTGGATTTCATGGATGCCGACGACACGTTCTTGGCGTTCCTCTCCTGCAGGGCCGGGCAGAACTACTCCATGCTGGCGATTCTGCTGCGCCGCATCAAGGGGAACCAGTTTACGAGAGTATCCTCTGCCGAGATTATCCGTGTACCTTGGTGGAACGACAACATGCAAGCCCGGATAGAGAGCAGCACCAGAATGGTACAGGTCAAGCAGGAAGACGAATCGGAGCTGTCATTCCGCGGGCTACCTCAGTACAAATTCTCTGTGGCTCTGGACGTCCTCGAGTTCAAAGGGTTCCAAGTCACGAGTCGATGGACGTCGTGGTCGGATAGCTGCAGCAGCTGGGATGATGGCGAAGCCAGAGATGAGGAGACGATCGTGATAGATCGGATGGAGGGGAAGGATAGCGTGACCGCTGCTCTTGAGTTCACGAGTAGACAGTCAAGCCGGTTCGAAAACTACGATTCTCACCCTGCTCTAGCGTATGCAGAAAGCGATAGATTCGTCTTGGTATTCAACATGTACGCACGCCGGGCGCGATTGGGCATCCTCTTGCCTTCAGGAACCGAGACGATGCAGGATATGCTGAGGAAATGGATGCAGCCCGGCGACTGGATGACGAACTGCGGCCAAGTTCTCCCCACAAGAAGACTCGTCTCCGGCACCAAAGTGACGGCTCAACTTGTCAGGAAGCCGACGGATTTATGGCTACGCAGCTATCAAGCCGAGGTGTCATTCGAAGATCCGGTCGAGCTTTACACTACCCATATTTCTGACACCCCGTCAGATCTCTTGGTCGAAGCACTCCCGAATAACGAAGTTGAATCTACTGAGAAACGTAACTCGATGTCGCTCGATCCTGGCGAGAGCTATCACCTCCGCGGCTTTCTCTTACAGAAAGAGTCTGAAGTGGCGCCGAAACGGAGAGAATTTTGGCTGAGCCGTCCGCAGCATCAGGTGGCTGGCATCTCGGAATTGGCAGACAACGAAGTCGCTTCCTTCAACTCGGAATTTTCAGATGCGGCAAAAAATTACTCTATACGGGGCTTCTTGGAACACAGGGACTATCTTGACTTTACCCCTCACTTCGAAAATCTCAGTATTGGGGATGGGCGAGTTCAGAATGAGGAAAAATTGATGCAAATTAAGTGAAAATTCTGTTACATCAATCACTGGAGCAGAGAGATCAAGATAAGATTGTTCAATCTAAGCGACCCTGCTAGAAAAAGCCTCAACAGTCTTCTCTACCAGCATCTACGCGTCCATCGCTAAGATCTTTCCCTCGAACTCTCATTTTACCCCGACAACTTCCTTTCAGGGGTTAGATATCCATGTTACTACTTGACGAGGCGACTTCCAATATCACCACCAGCATTTCAGCTGCGCGAATAGCAGTTGTTCCCGACAGCTGTCAGCTGCAGCACAGGCTTAGACGAAGCGTCCCCGGTTGAGTGGCTGAGAGGGCATCAAGACGGGTTGGGAGATCTGGTAAGAGAATCTTGCTTGATTGCAGCTGAATCCTGAATGAAGGCTCTGTTGGATCAGTAATATACTAAGCAGTCAGGCGAGTGATAAATACTGGAATTTTTACAGTTTTGTGAGAATTAAGGTACCGAAAGACACACATGCCCACCTAGAGCGGACTCTAAACACCGATTTAAAAAAGGTTCAGAATAACGAATTCACAACCTTGGAGATGTAACGCCGCAGCTGCTTTATTCAGTGCACACAGAGCATCCCAATCTGTGATATTCCGTTCATTTTTGGCACTGGGCAAAGATGAGAGCGAGATATATATCAATCGACGTTGAATGAAGCTGATAGAAAGATCTTAGTACTGACCACTCGGGATGACAGGCTCGCCGCATAAAATATTTTTAGCCTCATATCGAATAGTAATTGAATAAAAGATTGATGATTGCATAAAGAAAGGAGACGATCTCTGTCATAATTTGATACAATGAATTGAGAGGTGAGAGCGATGGTGTAGATGGAATATGCAGGTCTACAGACGAATTGCCATTCCTCTGAGATGTGTTACCATATGGGATTTTGAAATTGAAAAGGGCATAAGCCGGAGCCGCTGAACGTAATCACAACTAGTAATGTAAAGGTTTTCCGAGGGGTTGCAGTTGCTGGGTGTAATTGTTGCAAGTATAACAAAGTTGAGAGTTGTCGTTGAGAAAACGTAAGGCCCAAGTGGCGGGTTCTAGTGGGCCAGGGACCGATGATGGGCAGCCCCTCCCGGTGCCGACTTGACGTCCATTGCCACCACCACAACCACATCCTCAATCTGAACCACAGCTACAGCATCTCAAGTTGGACTTGGACCTACGACCTCATGAGATTCTGTACACGATTTCAAGATGGGACAATCATCGTCGAGCGAAGACGCAAGACACGCTTCAACCGAGCAGCTGAGCCATCAACTGGCCCTCAAATTCGCCAGACGCTGCTTCAGCCCGCTCGAACTCTATTCCTTCGAAGATGTTTTCAACTCTCTCGCCGACAAGCAAGATGATATCTCATTTCTTAAAGAGGATACCGTAGCGCGCCTACTTGAAATCCCAGATGTCCTCGGCGTCTCCTCGATTTTATTTCAAATGATGTCGTATCTAGGCGCATTTCCGTTTGGGCAAGATGCACCGGTCGTGCTGGGGTTTGAGCAGATGATCATGGTAGTTGTTATCATGACCGAGAGGTATGCGAGGGTGCTGAAGAAGGGCGGACGGGATAGGACGAAGTTGCTATTTCGAAGTCTGGCAGTCTTCGACCGGGGCGAGAAGGAGGAGAATGTTAAGCCGGAAGCGGATACACAAGCGGTTTCTGAGCCAGCGAGAAGCTACAGTCAGGGTTTCGCTGTGGACGATGCTGCGAATGACGAGGAAGAAGAAGACGACGACGATTTGGCTCTTGCGGCCCTGGAATCCCTAGATGCGATAGAAGTCTTCCGGCACGGCGACGCCCCTATCAATCAAGCTTCCATACCTTCTGACAACCTCAAGAAGCTAATAATGCTTCTTCTACTGATAGCACCTCTTTCCCCTCAACAAAGCCTCGCCCGAAATCCTGAAAGACTATCAGGCGACCAGCTTGAAGGCCTCCGCAAAACTGCGGACAACGTTCTGGCAGCATTTGTTAACGTCGAGAAGTTTCCTGGCGTCAAAATACATCAATTCAATACCGTTATACCCACTTCCTTACCATTTCTGTTCAATGGCTTTAATGCCCTGTTCGAGCATTTTTTGTTCTCAAAGAACATCGATTTTACGAAGAGGAAAGGCGATTCTGCTGCACCATTGCCCCCTCCAGATCCAGTGATGGACCAACCGCTTCTTCCTCGAACGGGAGAGATTTTGGACCTGAACGTGCTATCACAACTGTCCTTCTTCCTCCCCGGCGACTCCCTCTTCAGACGTCTACGGCTGCTTTATTCAGGCGGAGACGCAGGCTTCTCCATGGGCAGCTTCGAAACCAAAGTCTTCAACTGGCGTGCCCCCACCATCTTCCTCGTATCAGGAAACCGCATCTCCGAGCCTCCCTCCTCCGGCCAAGAACGCGGCTTTGCAGACGCACTTCCCCCCAAACGCTTCCCAGACAGCAGCAAATCCACGCACATGGTCTTTGGCGTCTACGTCGGCCAGCACTGGCGCCAAACACACAAGGAGTGTTTTGGCGACACCGAGACCCTGCTCTTCCAACTCGAGCCCGTCCACGAGGTCTACCACGCGTCGTCATTAAACAGGGACTACATCTCCTTCGCTAAACCGCCCAGCGCGCACTCGGGCATTGCCTTCGGGTGCCCGCATCCTAAAGCTAAACAGACGGCCGGCTTGTCCACGCATGCCAGCCTGGGTGCAGTTTCGCTGCTGCTCGACTCGAGTTTTGAGTTCGGGGTCTTCACGCATAACTACACCTCTGGGGGTGGCGCGTTCCGGAATAGTGAGACGAGGAAGTTTGATTGGCAGGATCGGTTCGAGGTGGAGAGTTTGGAGGTTTGGGGCTGTGGCGGGGACAAGGAGGCGGAGGGGCAGAAGGAGAGGTGGGCTTGGGAGGAGAGAGAGGCGGAGGCAAGGAGAAGGGTCAATTTAGGCACGGGTGATATTGAGGCTGATCGAGCGCTGCTGGAGATGGCTGGATTGATTGGGAGTAACAGGAGTGGCGGTTCGATGAATTGAGGGGACCAGGAGGTGCGGGAGTTTGGATTTGGCATGCTGGATAACATTGGATATTGGTTTTTCAAGAGCCCGGGTGGAGTTGGGGTGAGCTGGTGCTTGATTAGAATACCCGCAACGGTTGTGCGTTGTTTACTTGTTTTTACCCCTAAAACTCGCTACCCCTTTTGCTGCAAGCGAGGAAGCCCCTCGATCTGGTAGTTACAAATCGGCTCGTCGAACCCGGATAGTCAACACACCAAGCACCACCTTTCGGATACAAGTAATCAACAATGTCGGACGTTTTGACAAGCCGGTCCACCTGAAAGTGTACAACCCAATACATGCCCCCGACTCCAAACTCCATCCCAATCCAATTCTATACACATTACGTCTCGCTCTCGTGGTCTATTTTTTCGGCCACAGCAACCCCGACACCGACTCCAACACGCCCTTCTTCTCCTCCCCCCTAACCACAGAGCTAGCTTCCTTTCCTTGCTCCACAACCTCATCCGCCCCGCTCTTCTGACCTTTATCCACCACACCCTTCTCACTCTTGTCCCCTGCCCCCTCCTTCCCCTTCTCCACCCTCCCCAACTCCTCCTTCCTCTTCTCCAGCCTCTCCAACTTCCTCCTCCGCTCAGCCTTCAGCTCCTTCTCCTCCGCATCGCGGCTCTCCAGCTCCCGGATCCAGGCGGCTCTCTTCTCCTGCGCCTTCTGCTCGGCCAGCACGTCGTCGAATTCCTTGCGCTTCTGCCGGTCCGTCTTCCAGTACATGGAGCCGCCGAGCATGGCGAGCAGCGTAAACGCCTGCGCGTAGATCCGCGCCCGGAACATGCGGTTCGTGCGGTTTGAGTCGCCCGCCCGGATCGAGCGTGAGGCGTTGAAAAGCGCCCAGCAGGTGAGGCCGCAGCCTGGGGAGCGGGGACATTGCGTCTGCGTTAGCAATTGATGGGGGAAGAGATTGGATCCAGGGGAGAGAAGGGGCGTGGGACGGATGGGTGCTTGCTTACCTAGAGGGATGAGAGGTTCTTCTTTGAGACGCCGGAAAAGCTTCTGCCACCGGTTTTCTTCGTAGAACTCGCTGCCGTCGTGTGCTTAGCTATGTACTTCTTTCGAGATTGGAATTGAGGAGAGTTAGGGAATAGTTGGGAGGCGTACGTATCTCCATCGAAGGATGAGGGGAGGGGTGAGTTGGACATTTTGATGTGCAGGTTTTTGAGGCTCTGCTTCTTATTATTGTTGTTGTTAATGATGTTGTCGTCGGTGTCGAACTTCTTCCTCCAAGCATCTAGCTGACCTCACCACTCAAGCTGAAGGTATAATCATCCGATGTTCAGCCGACCAATCGCGGGGTCCACTAAATTTAATTATCAGTGACTGTTCTGGTCGTCAACAAAACAACAACATTTTTCACATATTTTCCCCACCACCAGTAACAAAAATCGATCTTGTATCGATTGTCCTTCCTCCCACGATGGAGAATGGAGCCAAGATCAACGGAGAGCCCAATGGCACCAGCCCCCCACGAACACCAAGCTCGAACTCCTTCTCCCTCACGGAGTACTCAGCCAACCCTTCACCGCCGAGGGGGAGCCCCGGGAGCCCCAAGTCTAGACTCAAGGGACTGATTCCAGACGAGTTTCTACTGCCGAATGGATATCCTGATGTAGGTTCCTTCTCCCACGACGGATCGCGATCAAGAGCTAATTCCACAAGTACCTACGTCTCATCCTCGCGTCTCGCGTCTACGAGGTCGTGGAGGAAACGCCCCTCACGCACGCCACGAACCTGAGCAACAGGCTGCAATGCAAAGTGCTATTGAAGAGAGAGGATTTGCAGCCGGTGTTCAGCTTCAAGCTGCGGGGCGCGTACAACAAGATGGCGCATTTGGATAAGACGACGACGTGGAAAGGAGTTGTGGCTTGCTCGGCCGGGAACCACGCGCAAGGCGTAGCATACTCTGCACGCAAGCTCAAGATCCCAGCTACCATCGTCATGCCTGAGGGAACGCCCGAGATCAAACACCGAAATGTCAGCAGGCTTGGGGGAACGGTGGTCTTGCACGGTGCGGACTTTGACGCGGCGAAGGTGGAGTGCGCACGCTTGGAGAAACTGTATGGGCTGACGAGTATCCCGCCATTTGACGACCCGTATGTTATTGCCGGGCAGGGGACGATTGGGATGGAGATCCTGCGCCAGACAAGTATCCAGAAGCTGGAGGCTATTTTCTGCTGCGTGGGAGGGGGAGGACTTATCGCGGGAATTGGGTTGTATGTGAAGCGTATTGCGCCACATGTGAAGATCATTGGGGTCGAAACGTACGATGCAAACGCGATGGTGCAGTCATTGGCTCTGGGTAAGAGAGTCACGTTGAAGGAGGTTGGGCTGTTTGCAGACGGCGCGGCAGTGAAATGTGTAGGTGAGGAGACATTCCGCGTGTGCCAGGAAGTGGTAGATGAGGTTATTCAAGTCACGACCGACGAGACTTGCGCTGCCATCAAAGATGTCTTCGAAGACACTCGCTCCATCGTAGAGCCCGCTGGTGCGCTCGCCCTCGCTGGCCTCAAGAAATACGCGGCTGCACACCCCTCCGCTAACACAAACCGCCAACTCGTTGCCATCGCTTCAGGAGCGAACATGAATTTCGACCGCCTACGCTTCGTGGCCGAGAGAGCAGCGCTGGGAGAGAAGAAGGAGGCGCTTATCAGCGTCTCTATCCCCGAGAAACCAGGCGCGTTCTCTGAGCTTATTAAAGCTATCTTACCACACATGGTGACCGAGTTCTCGTATCGCTACGCCACAGATGCCGTAGCCAACGTGCTCATTGGACTCTCTCTCACCTCTGCAGCTGATCAACGAGAAGCTGAGCTCGATTCCCTGCTCTCGCGAATCTCATCCGGCGGCATGACGCCCGTTGACCTCTCCGGTGATGAGCTGGCAAAGTCCCACGTCCGCTACTTGGTAGGCGGCCGCTCAGGCGTCGCACACGAGAGGTTATACATGTTCAACTTCCCTGAGAGACCGGGTGCGCTGGAGAAGTTCCTGACGACGCTGCGACCGAGGTACAATATCAGTCTCTTCCAGTACCGGAACGCAGGCAGCGATATCGGCAAGGTGCTGACGGGGATTCTGTGTCCGGATGGGGAGCTGCGGGAGCTGGAGAGCTTCTTGAAGAAAATTGGGTACCCGTGGGAGGACTGTACTGAGAGTCAGGTATTCAAGACTTTCTTGAGGTCGTAAGGGGACGAGAAAGGAATATCCAGAGGAGTAGTTGGAGATTAGCGCGGCGTCGGGGTGTTTGGTCCTGAGTTTTACAGATAGATAGATCATGCTGCGGGCGCGGAGGGCAAAAAATAGAAAAGCGATGATTTTTACCTCGGCACTGCGTTGAAAGAGCCCTTGAAGAAATTTTACACATAAATCGGGTTAGTTCAACAAAAAAAATTTTGGTCTACTCTCTCTCTCCCTTCTTTATCCATCAAGATCGAAAGAATGGGTCGACCCGTCCCATCCATCCATCTATCCATCCCGCGGCGAAACTCTTTTCCGCTCCGCTTATCCCAGCCCAAATCTCTCTCTCTCTCTCCGCGGTTGAACATCATCAGCAACTTCACAACACACTCACGCATTTCACACGCCTCTCAAGAAAGAAGCGGCGCAAACCGCAATTTAATCCCACAACCCAACAAAAGCTAAAAAAAAGAAAGAGAAAAAAAATCAACCGACAAACTCAGTAAATCATATCAGCGCAATGATTCCACGACCCTCGACTTCAAGCTTCTTCCTCCTCCGCGCAGCAGCAGCAGCAGCAGCAGCAGCACGCGCGCTGTCTCCCTCCTCCGCCATTACCCTCCGTTCCTCGTTTAGTAGAATGCTACCTGCGGCGAGGACGTTTGCGAACTCGACGGCGGGGACGGCCGCGCGGAGACCGATGGTTGGGGGGGTTATGGGGAGGGAGATGGGAGTGGGAGCAGGAGCAGGAGGAAAAGTCGCGGGAATGGGGGGGCTGGAGCAGGTTCGGGGGATGAAGGTTAGGAGTTCGGTTAAGAAGCTTTGTGGGGGGTGCAAGGTATGTTTTCCTTTGGGGATTTCTTTATTTCTTGGAGGGGTTTTCTTATTCAGGGAGGAGGGGGGAATGGGTGCGGAGCTATGGAGGCAGAAGAGACGAAAAGAATATAAGCTGACGTATGTACCTCTCTCACAGAGCGTGCGCAGGAAGGGTGGCAAGTCGGGCAAGGGGCATGTGTATATCATCTGCTCGCTGAACCCGAAGCACAAGCAGCGACAGGGGAAGTAGGGGTCGCAATAGGTGTAGTAATATTTGCGAAGATCTGTGAGATAGTGGCGCAATTCTGGGATGGTGGGAAATGGAGGATGGTATGCCATTGCGGGCATCTCTAGGGCTGCACGGTGGCGGAGGAGGTGAGAGGAGGACCTGAGTTGTATGATATGATACGATATGCACAGGCTGGCGTTGGCGGGTACTGGTCTCATGCTCGACCATCGACGAGGGCTGAATACCGAATCTTGGGCAGAAGCAGGCGATGCTTGAGAGAAGATGGTGGTGGTTATAGGATTGAAGAACCCAATCAATATACCCCTTGACACACCTCTTCCCACACCCCATCCTCGTGTCTTCGAGTCTGCGGGTATCCTGAACGGCTTTAATCTTCACAGCCCATCAATATACCTCTCCATCGTCTCCCACTGCGTCTTCCCCGTCGATATCAAGTACCGGATTTGACCCTGTTCACACCCGCCCATTAGCCTCCTCCGCGTACCAAACCACTCCCCGAGGGCGTCGGAAGCAAAAGAACCAATCTTAGGTAACGAATCTGAGGTAACGCACGATATCCCCAACCCCTCTGTTCCTCCTGAACTCCTCCCTCGCAAAGCCCAGCGTCTCGGCCCTGGTCCGGGGATCCGAAATGCGGCGACAGCCTCTTATGATCGCCCGCCACAGCTTGATCGCTTTTCCGCGCTGCAGAAACTAGAAGAGGCACGGCGCCCACCACAGGGCAACGTGTTAGCGAATCTGGAGGGTCCTGGTGGTGGTGGTGGTAGGCGGGAGAAAGCGGGATGGGGGGGGGGGATGGTTTGTACGTATTATTTACATGGTCGAGGGAGATGGTTGGTGGTAGTTTGGGGTGGTGAGGGCGTGCGGCTGAGGCGTAGCTACGCCAGCCGCGGTGGAGGGTTTGCGTCGGGCATCTCATCTGGTGGCGGTTTGTGGTCGTGGTCGTGGTCGTGGTCGTGGTCGTGGTCGTGGTTGTCTGAATATTCGGTCTGAGAAAGAGCAATCGGGTGGAGTTGAAGTGAAGCTTGGAGGCCGAGGCTTGCGGCCTGAGTTTAAATCCGGGGTTCATGCTTGACAGGCGCGGCGAGTCACGTCCAACATCGATTTCTTCTACGAAGCGAGAGGAGAGAAAAGGGCGAGATCAAGAGGATGGACGAAGTGGATCATATCGAGCTTGCGAACCAGAAGAGCTTGGAGGATTTTGAGAGGGAATATATGCCTGGGTATGTATGTGAATTCCCCCATCTCAACCCGTACGTTGTTTTGATATTCCGATCATCATCATGTTTTATATAAACAAACCTGCCTAGCACTGTTCACGACATTCTTCCCCCACAAAGCCATTTTGCTTTGCCAGCTCAACTTCCTTCGGTTGGGGCTTTTCTTTTCTTTTCTAATCCCCACAGAAACGACTGGAGATTCTTCCGCCACCCCACCACTGCCGCCATCTACACACTCGCCCTGCACGCCTCGTCGTCGCTCCCCGAAGCCGATCTCAACGCCTGCTTCGCCCTCATCGAGCTCACCAGCTCAGAGGACTACCGGGAGTCCAAAGGGGGATGGAAACCCCGGGCCAAGAAGGAAGAGATGAAGTTGCTGGACTTAAAATACCTGCTCGTCAAGAAGGCAGAGGATGGCCGCGTGCAGGGCTTTATGAGTCTCATGCCGACGTACGAGGATGGGTTTCCTGTCGTGTATTGCTATGAGATTCATCTCTCGGCGGAGTTGCGGGGGTAAGTGCTGTGTAATTCCCTTCTTGCAGTTATGAAACTTATGTTGCAATGGGCTAACGAAAGATAGGACGGGGCTGGGAAGGATGATGATGGGGTATTTGGAAGATGTGGCTAGGAGAGTTCCTGAGACGGAGAAGGTCATGTTGACGGTCTTTACGCGGAATAAACGTGCCGTCGAATTCTACGGTAAGTTGGGGTACAGTACAGATGAGTATTCGCCGGAGCCAAGAGTGCTGAGAAATGGGACGGTGGTGAAGAGTGAGTATCTTATCCTGAGTAAGGGCATCAATAGATGATGGGTGGGGTGGGCCCAGAGGGTCCAGTGCTGCTGTCTGGTGTAGATGGGCCTGCATTCTTGAGGGGATCGATGTTGCTGTCGGCCAGCAGGAGCTGAACGTCTCTTTGGCTAAGAATCTTGCAGAAGGAACAAGCGCTGGTACTATCCACGTCAAACTGAGTAGTAGGGGCTGGGAATAAGCGATGATGCCGCTGTCTATCATTCGGTGGTTCTCTGGCAGTTCGCAGGGGCACTGGTGCTGAGGTGTTGCGTGGCAAATATCACATAACATGGTCTACCTCAACGGAATTTTTGCAAAACGCGCGGACACTCATCCTCGACAGAAAATGCCCAGCGAGATTATATCTGGAGACGGACGTTTCCCCTGTTTCAAACGCCCTCGACAACGGGCCTAGGGTCGAGCTTTCTTCCCATATAGCCCATAAGAAGGGCTAAATACTACTTCGATCAAGCGAGCGAGTATCGTCTTGCTTTGCAGATATGCAAAATTAAAGTCGCTATCCGGGTCCGGTCGTACAGCCCCATGGTCTCTGAAATAGTTCAACGACACTTGCCCGTTAAGAACGACACCCAACCCATGCCAATTGTGACATGAGACCAGTTAAAACAAATGGCTGGAAAGTTAACGGCTTGGATTGGATAGGGCTGAAGCCACAATTCTCAGCCGTACGACCTATCCTTAGGCGAGGCACGTTCTCCCCCATGTTTTCAGCTCTGCTATATCAAATAAACATATCGCGGGAGCTATACCGGACTGTGGACATGAAGTGATCCTTTTGTTCGGTTGCGGTGTTATTGGTCCACCGGGATGATTTGATTAGCGGTCTTTGTTATAAGGCTGTAAATTTCCCTCCTCACATTTCATTCTCCTCTTTCCCAACCTACAAATCCCGCGTCTCCAACTAAGATTTACGGCCCTCATTTGAGATTTTAGGTCAAAATGAGCGACACCAAAGCCCCCATCACATCAGAACAACCAGCTCAACCTCAGCCTACCTCCGCAAATTACCAACCAACGACCGGAACCGAGGAATGGTCCAACAATATATTTGACTGCTTCAAGGGAGCTGACAATCTCTGTATGCGCGTTAATATTGTCTGCTCGAGACGTGTACTAAATAAGATTATCCAGGCCTGAAAGCGACATTCTGCCCCTGCTTCGTCTATGGTCGCACTCAAGCCAGGCTTAGAGACCCAAGCCTCACTGGCTACGAAAGGATAAACAACGACGTATGTACCCTATCAGCCCTTTCACCGCAGGACAGCGTCTAAATACCTCCAGTGTCTCCTCTTCGCAGGCCTGAACTGCGTCGGTGCTGGATTCGTGTATAGCACCTCCTCTCTCCTGATGATATGTCCAACGTACTTACTTACACACGCCACAGCCTCGAATTCCTCAAGCGTCAAGACATCCGCGCCAAGTACTCCATCCGCGGCGACACGCCCTCTGATGCCCTCCTCTCCTTCTGCTGCGGCTGCTGCTCCCTGATCCAAGGCGAGAAAGAGGTCATCGGTCGCGCGCGTGCGCAAACGCAGCAGACTCAGGGGTCTTTGGGATATCAGGCGCCTGCTGGTATGCACGCTGATCCCCACTAGAGTTATTAGGCCAACCCTGAATATCGGAGATTGGAATGCTGCGTTGCGATGATGTCTGTTTTTGCCTCTGAGAGCAGGACACGGGAGTTTCGAATCCGGCTATGCTGCCCAAGGCGCTCGCTCTATTCCTGCGGTTGAGTTCTATATTATTTCCGTCGTAGTTCTGAGCTCCGTGTACTGGATTACTAGCCAAAACCCGTGTATATAAAATTTTTTTTCATCTTCTCAACCTGTCGTCGTGTATCTCGCGCTTGTTGATATTTATGCAATCGCTAGCGCTTCACTCTAATGATTGCAATTGCCATCGCGCGGCGTGTGCAGGGGCCATTGCGATCTTTTCGGTCGGCGACCCTTTTTTTCCGGTTTTCTTTCCTACGTTTGTCGGATATTGCGTGTCTACGTGGCAGCACTTTCGTCAACCCTCATACATCTATCCATTCATCATATGGAAGCGCTTTGCTTTCATGAGAGGGAGGTACTTTTCTTTGGAGAGCTGTGGTTTTTTTCTTCTTCTCGTTTTCGGTGAGGTCATGCTTGTCTGTATGTAGATGATTGTGTTTCGGTGATTTTCTTCCGAGGGGGTGGCGGGGGGTGTTCTCCAGCAGCAGCAGCTTCATTCTGAAAGTTGAGGGATATTTGGAAAGGAAGAATCTTACAGATTGATTTCCTCTTGTTGTTTCTAGTTCCTTCTTATTAATACCGCTTTCGCCTGCTGTTCTAGAAGCTCATTTGAGAACTCGAGCTATAACCAACTCTTGAATAGCATGAGGATCTTAAGCGTAATGAATGGATGGATTTTTAAAATTGGACAAGTAAGATAGATCAAAATGATGATGGGCCTGAATTTGCTTGATTATATTGAATTTCTACTATGATAATACTGAAGAGAAAAACTGAAAGGTGTAAAATCTAGATGGGAAGGGCAGAGTGCTCCATTTAGACTTGGACTAGAAAGGTTCTAGGGTAACGGCTTATGATTACCAGGACAAGATCGTACTACCGATACACTACCCACCGCCGGGACAGCACTAGGACGGAAACAAATCGATTTTTTTTTTAGCAAACTCCGCAATTGGTTACACCATGACACCGCGGCGGCTTTACAAGATACCCTGCCTTAATCTTTCAGGGAATTGAGCGGAAAATACGCCATTTTGCAATTCTTCTACTAAACGTCTGCTACGGGGAAGAGCGTTTCAAGATTGTTATCCAGTCCAGATTGAGATTATATTGACGAAGGTTGATTGAGATTGCCCTCATCGTGGTTCTGATTGGCCAAGCAGCCCAAGCGAGTAAATACGCCAATGCGACTAGACTCCCCTTTCTCCCTACCTGAAGAGCGAAGCCTCTTGCTTCAGCCCTTGCCTGGTACGCCCTTGCCTCACATAGTTGAAGCTGAAGAAATGAATCGCGGAAGTCACCTGCTCTCAAGAGAAGTCGGCTCCGCGGCTAAACGTGCACGTACGGGCAGCATTCCGAGACCCTGCCACCGCAATTTTTAACCACCGCGAACACTACCGAAACGGTCAAATATGTTTTTCGTTATCATCATATTATTTTATTCAATTTGGTTTGTGGGATGGTATTTCTCTCAATAGGAAAGGTTTTCGTTAAGCGTAGGCTCGTCAAGCGTTTGTTCGCTAGTATCTTAGTACTTCCTAATCAGCAACGGTGATAAACCAAAGAGCACTAACCCCGGGCACCATTGTACCGTTTGTTCGGGTTTAGTCAGAGGACCGTATGGGTTCCAGCGAGGTTACAGAGCTGCGTACAACGGAACCAATATGTCTCACTGCGCATTACAACATGTCAGAATTAGCGCGAGAACAATCTGTGGAGCCCATCGCCGAAGGCGAGAATTCTGAATGAGTCCATACCGTTGGCCTTGGATCTTAAAACAGAACCTCACTATCTCATATGTATTTCTCCTTTTCGGTATAGTCTATAGGCTACGTTTGGGACCGGCTCCTTAGCAGTTGCTACATTTCAGTTGTCCCTTTCCTTGGACTCGATCGTCAGAAAAATTTGTGCCCAATGAATCCACCCCCCCACAGCATCTATCTACAACTTGAAACGATGTGCTTTGCAGAAATTCTGCTAAGGATCTCCGTTACTAGAATGATACATGGTCGGCGATCGCCCTAACCTTTAAGTTCCTATGAAGATCAGGAATCGCTGTTCGCTAACCAGATAGTATAACTGGAAAGAGCTTAAGCCCATACAAAACGCACCGTCTGACCTTTTAATCATTTTCTCCTACTGCATGACCAGAGGCTCCGCCTCTGTCGACACTACTTTCGGATCGTCCACAAACGCTGAATCCCAAGATATATAAAAGACGCTGCTGTCCAGCAACCTTTTGACCATCATCGGTCTTCATCCTTCATCTGCTCAGGCTTCTTTCCTGAACCACTCCTCTTTCTATATATAATCTTGCAAGTCATTAATCTTATCAATCATGTTCGGAGAATACTCTGTTACCCTTCTTGTAGCTTCTGTGTTGGCTCTTGCCTCGTCAGTCTTGGCGGGATTCGATGCCGCTTCCTCGAAAAATGTCGCCGTATACTGGGGTGAGCTCGACCATGGTTACCGTCTGAATCTGTTTTAACTGTTCTTGTGTAGGACAAAATTCCTTTGGCCAAGTCGGTAGTCAGGCAAGCCTGGCATTTTATTGCGAAGGTAAGTCGACCCCCGTTGGAATAGCCTACGGCCCGCCCGATCAATTGTGACTGACTTGACATAGATACCCGAATTGATGTAAGTGCGTATAAATATAGATACATCTGCGAACCAGCTAAGATGTTGGAACATTAGTTGACTTTATATAGATCATCCCCATTTCTTTTATGATATCTCTTCGTGACCGAACATTGAATTTGGGACCCAGTTCACCCGACCTTGAGTAAGCCTTTCTCACTTTCCCCCTCTGCCATTGCATTTCTTGCTGACGACCTGTAGGGATGACATCAAAAGCTGCCAAAGATTGGGAAAGACGATTCTTCTTTCCTTCCCGGGAGCTTATTACACGGAGGGCGGTTTTGACTCGGTCGAGATGGCGATCAAGGGAGCTCAGGATGTATGGGCTGCATTTGGCCCTGTGCAGGCCTACTCCACCATCTCCCGGCCCTTTGGTTCCGCTGTAGTCGACGGGTTTGACTTCGACTTCGAAAGCTCTGACATCGGCTATATTGTCGCTTTCGGAGAGGAGCTCGACCGCCTCCGCAGATACCCAAGCGACAAGAGTATCATCCTCACTGCCGCGCCCCAGTGCCCATTCCCGGACCAGGCCATGAATGAACTATTCGAGAAGATTCCGTTCGATGCTCTTTTCATCCAGTTCTATAACAACTACTGCGGTGTCAAGAACTTCAACCCAGGTGCCGACAGAAGCAGTTTCAACTTCGACGCTTGGGACCGCTGGGCGAAGCAAGAGTCGCTGAGCCGCCGTGTCAAGCTCCTCCTCGGCGCGCCGGCAAACGTGGCGGCTGCGGGCAAGGGATCCTACGTCGAGCCGTATGTGCTCGCCCAGGCGATCGCGGAGTCCCAGAAGTTCGAGAGCTTCGGCGGCGTCATGTTCTGGGATATGACCCAGCTCTATAGCAACGTGGGATTTCTGGACATTGTCGTCGGGGCTTTGGAGGGGAATAGGTTCTCGACACCTTCTTCGGAGCCTGCTCCCTCCTCTACGGAACCCGTCTGCCCTTCCTACGGTCGACGCAGCCGAGCCATTCTATCCCGGGGCTTTGGAGGGACATTGGTCCTCGGCACCTTCGGAGCCTGCTCCCCCCTCTATGGAGCCCGTTGCCCTCCCTACGGTCGACGCTACGGACCCATTCCATCCTCTAGCCACCACCATTGTCGCCTCGGTCAAGGGGTACACCACTCCGGCCCCAGAGCCAACGACCTTGATCATCAAGGTCGGGGCACCGGAGCCATCGCCAGCTTCTCAAGTCCAGGCCAAACCCGTCCTACCCGCCCTACCCGCCCTTCCCAATAGTCCTCAGCTTGGCGGGCTCGGTGAACCAAGTGAGTGCTGATTTTACGCGCCCCCCCCCCCCACTGGAAGGTCCACCTTTGGAGACGTACCTGACCAGGTGGAGGATCTGAATATGTCTCTCCGCAGGTCGGAAGATGTATACTCTGGGCTGGCTTGGCTTGTTGGGAATTTCGGCAGGTCGGAAGATGTATGCTCTGGGCTGGCTTGGCTTGCTGAGAAGTGGCGATGGGTAATTGGTTTGTTTACTTGTTATGTCCATGCCTAAGTTTTTTTTTTCTTTTTTTTTTTTTGTTGGGAGCGGGATTACAAGGGTAGCGATTGAAGAGCTCAATTTCTTTTGATCACTTTTACACGTTTCGATTCGGAATTTCTCATTTTGTTGAATTCTGGGCTTTTGTATCTAATGTCACATTGTTTGTAATCTCTTTAGGAACTCAATAGAAGAAAAGGAAAATAATCTTGAGTCTTACTTACATGCTTATCAGGGCGCTCTGCCTTCTAGCATGCAGGTTATGAGATAGAGGTTTTCTGCGGTCTGGTATAGCGTGGATAGTAATGGTAAGCCCATACCTATATAGTCTACCAGAGAACGATCTCTTCGCTTAAATTGGAGCTAGTGCTCGGGAAGCGAGATATCTAATAAAGGTGTCGGTGTTTGGCTACAACCTTCAATACTTTCAAAGGCGTCTCGAGATTTTCACACGATAGAAGTCTTTGATTGGATTAGGCTGGGCTATATAGCAATGGTAATCTCCTGGGGTTAATGTAGTCTTCAGTAGTAATCGACTGGCTTGATTAGCGGGTAGGGAAATGAGTAGAAGATGACTTACTTTCTTCCTGGCTATACTTTATATATTTGTTTAGAGTGGGCCTTGATTGAGAAAGTTAAAACTTGAGGGTGGGAGGGGGGGGAAGGTTCTTTTTCTAAAGTGATTGAGTTTGGAGATGAAGGGTAGTAAATGGTATATACTGCAGGGAAGGGTAGCAAGGTTGGTTATAAGGTAGGATGATATATACACTTTCGTTTGAAAGAAGTATGAGATAATTGAAGAGATCCAGCAGACTTAGATAAATTGAATATTCAATTTATGCTAAATACTTCCGCCCATTATTTCGCCCTGCGTGTTGAACTTTTAACCAGTTTCAGAAGTAGTACTCACGCCAAAAGGCTTTGTACCATGAGTCCCGCTCTCAAATTGCAACCTGCCAGGTTGCACCTCACTCACATCTGCCTATATCACCTCCTCATCTTTCTCCTTGGTGTCTGACTGCACAGTCCCCAGCTTTTTCAGCAATCCAATCTTCCCCATATTCCCCAGCCCGCAGATCGTCAGAAGCAAACAGAAACCCATAGCGGCAGCACAGAACCACTCCACTGCCCTGATCCCTTCCAGCAGCGCCGGAAGCTCCCCCTTTCCCTGATTTCTGAGCTTCCTCTGCACAAAATCCTGGATAGTGGCAGTGATTGGCAAGAACATGGCCCTTCCAAGCCCTGCAAAGGTCTGGAACATCGCGCCTGCAACACTCTGGTCTTTTCTTGGGAGAGACTGGGTGATGAAGAGACCGAGGCAGGGATAGACCGTGTCAGCGCCGATGCCCGCGAAGCACATCGCGAGGAAGGCGTAGGCCCAGTAACTTGTTGAGGGCGGGATTGGGACGGCGAAGAGGATGTTGGAAATTGTGCCCAGCGTCAAGCCAACGATGAGAATGTAGTTACCTCTGATACGGTCCATCAAATAGCCAGCTGCGACGGTACCGAGTACTGCATACCGTTAGCTGGAGTTGAACTTGGGCCTGGAAGCTGGACTTACTGCCGAAGATACCCAGTGGGATATAACGAAGTGTAGTTTGGATTGGTGAGTGGCCTTGATAGTCTTGATAGCTGCCTCACGATCAGTGGCCTGGCTAGAAATTGAGTTTATGGTCTTACAAGTAGGTTGAGTAGACAACAAAGTTTGTGAATCCAGCTGAGAAGATAAGGGCAATTACCATCGCGACGGAGAATCGCACGTTCCGGAACGTCGATGTACGCATGAGAGGCTCACGAGCCCGGCTCTCGAGATAGTGTTGCCAGTAAACAAAGATAGCAATTAGCAATAGCGCCAGGATTAAGAGAACAACGACGTAAGGCGTGTCCCATCCGCTAGATGCCCCTTCTGAAAGAGAAATGAGTAGCAAGAGTGCTCCCGCGGTGAAAAAGAAAGCGCCTATCCAGTCGACGCTTGCTGCTCGGGCGTCCGCCGTGCTTTGACCTCGGGAGGGCTCTTTTTGAATGACGAAGATGGCTGAGACGGCGATGGCAAATCCCATTCCAGCTATTACGAAGAATACCACTTTCCAGTCTGCGTATTGGGAAATTATCCCACCCTACAGATAGGTCAGCGGATGGGGATAGAGGAACGAAAGCTGCATAGGATCTCTACCAGTAAATTCCCGAATACCTGTCCTGTAGGCGCCCCAGCGGAGTAGAATGCAAAGCTGTAGTTCTTAATTCGTCCGGGAGGTACCGTATAGCCGATAATTCCAATTGCGGTAGGAACAGTTATCGCAGCTCCCTGAGAAGTAAGCCAGATGATCATGTTTAGCCCAGAGAGTTGACACTTACCAGACCCTGCAAAGCCCTCATGATATACATGCATATCTCAACTGGGCTGAACGCTACTGCCAGAGTGAAAATCGTAAACCAGAAGCAGCCGATGATAAACAGCCATCGTTTCCCGTACACGTCCCCTAGCTTTCCGGACAGGAGAAGAAACGAGCCCGCTGTCAACGAGTATGCCGAAACGATCCATTGCTGTCTTGTTTCTGGGATATCAAGATCATCAGTAATGCCGGGCAGAATAATGACGACGGACTGAATCGAAAGTGTCTGGATGGATAGGTGTAAGAATCGTACTCTGCTTCAGGATATGGAAAGCTCACGTTTATGAATGCAGCACTAGTTAACAGTAGCACCAGAGGCGCCACTTGACGTGCTGTCACTTCTTTTTGAGAAAGAGCATGGAATTCATCGTCCGTGTCTGGAGTAGGGGCCTCGGAAATGGATGCTGTTGACTTGACATTGACATTCTCGGCATCACGCCCAGACAAGGACAAAGAGCCTTTCTTGTTTGATCCAGCAAACCAGCTTAACCGAGACATAGTAAATAAGAGATGCTCTGAGCAAGGAAATTGATATAGAAACAATTCTAGGGCAGAGTCCCAAGGTTCGCATATGTAGTCTCTCGTCTAGGGCCCACTTTGCAAACGTGATAAGCGCAAGATAAAGGGGTTGGTTAATACCAGACCCGCTAGCATGACCAAGCCGGACGCGTCGTCAGCGGTAAGCCGAAATTGCTTATTATTAGCTTTTCTCATCTTGAAACCGATTTCGAAAGTCTGAGATAGTGATGGCGATAGCGGCCATAAGATGAATATATAGACAGAATACGGTCGGACCGAGCCGAGAACCATTAACCATACAATCTGCTGACTAAGCGAGACTCGATATATTCCCAAATAAAACCATTAGCATCTCATCTTTCAATCTTTCATGACCGATATCGACTTTCCTTATCTTATGAAGACCCTTAGACCCTAAGAATCGACCATATGCGGCCCATACTGCCAAGTCGCATGCTATGGAGATCTTTGAACTCTCTTCCGTTTCGAAACAGATACCGGTTACGACGATGCTACGCTGTGACGGTTTCAAGAACCTACGATGTAAAGCCTGCTCCTTCTCCCAAACGACCCCAGACCCTTGCTGATATCTCAAAGGAGGCTATAAATCTCCTTAATACCCTTCAGACACCACATGAAATCCTCCAAAAGCGATGGGATGCCAATATTAGAATTGACGAGGGATCTAATCACGAGATTAGAAAATGCCTCGCCCGGATCGGATACTCGGTTTGTAATCTCCTTCAGTATCCGGATGGAGGCTAACATGAAAGTAAGCAACGTGACTTGGAAAGCTTAAACATCGTTCACGTCGCTGGTACGAAAGGCAAAGGCTCAACATGCGCATACGTCGATTCGATGCTCTCGCACTATCGTAAGTCACATGATATACCCAAAAACATCGGCCTCTTCACCTCACCGCATCTCATCGCCGTTCGCGAGCGGATCCGTATCAATTCTGCTCCGATATCAGCGGAAATCTTCACCAAATACTTTTTCGAAGTCTGGGATAGGCTTGAAGCCGCAGCTATCAAGTCTGATGCCCCCTTCGAGAAGCCGGTCTATTTCCGATACCTGAATCTCATGAGTTACCACGTGTTCCTGCAAGAGAATGTAGATGTTGCTATTTATGAAGTTGGAGTCGGCGGAGAGTATGATTCTACGAACATCGTGGATCAGCCGGCTGTGACGGGGATCTCTACGCTTGGAATTGATCATACGTTTACGCTGGGTGAAACTATCGACAAGATTGCGTGGCATAAAGCTGGCATTCAGAAGAAAGGAGCCCCGTCTTTCAGTGTGCCGCAATTACCAGCTGCGATGAAAGTCGTTGAGAAGCGAGCCGAGGAGAGAGCTGTCAAGTCTTTCGGTGTCGTTGGACTTGACCGACGGTTGGGTGGCGTGAAGATCCGCCCCGATGCACCTTTTCAAAAATCGAACGCGAGCCTCGCAATAGCTCTGACCGAAACGCTTCTCAGGAAGCTAGATCCCAAGTTTCAAATCGACTCTGAGCTACTGCCCGAGGAGTTTGTGGACGGACTCGAGCAAGTGGTCTGGCGAGGAAGGTGCGAAAAGAAGGTTGAAAGAAACATCACCTGGTATTTGGATGGTGCACATACAGCAGACAGTATACTTGTCGCTACGAAGTGGTTTGGGGACGAAATTATCTCAAAGTATACTATCAGATGGCTTCAACTCGTACCATGCTGACCGAAATCCTAGACCCGGGCCTCGGGTTCTCATATTCAACCAACAAGGACACCGCGACGCTGTTGACCTTCTAGAAGGACTCTTCAAAGCGGCTTCATCACAAAATAGAATCAATTTCGACCATGTCATATTCTGTCCTACAGTCCCGGCCTCAAAATCTAATAAAGGTATGCTCCCCAGAGGCGGATCCTACCTCGCCTCATCATCCGCTGACTCTAGGAAGATCAGGTCAATCTCTCCACCGATGCAGCAGCTCTGGCTGGGCTTACAATGCAGAGGACCTTTGCAGATATGTGGCGAACTCTGGACCCATCTTTTGCTACTCAGATCCATGTTTTGCGAAGCGTCGAGGATGCCTTTGAGTATGTCCGTCAAGTAGGCACCAAGAGCAACGCTGAAGATGGACCGGAAGAGGTACATGCGTTCATTACTGGAAGTGTACATCTAGTTGGTCGCGCTCTTGGGATACTCGAAGACGCGGATGCTTTGTAGCAGCTACGAATCAAAGTCTGGAGAGTAGCCTCGTTCACCAGCCGCAACATCGACCTGAGTATCCAGAGCCTCGAGGAGGTCGATGACTTCTAGACAGACAGGGTTAGCGATGAAGAGGACCAATAGCCCTACTTCTTCCTCTCAAACAGCAAACCACCAGCGATCCTGTACGTCAACATGGAGTCCCGCACTGAAGCCAAGAAGCATTACAGCCTCGAGTTCAGCTTCGAGTGCCACGGCTTCGAGTTACCACCCGAGATCTACGTCAACTGGGCCGCCGACCGGATCTATGTCTTCGGACCCAGAGTCGAAAATGTGCAGATCACGAGACGAATGTTCTGCAGCCAATCACAGTATTTCCGGAAACTCTTCTTTGAAAAGGCGCACGCTACTTGGCTTTCGAGATCCAAAGTTTCTTTGTTTTTAAAATGGTGCTCTATCTGGCGACCTCTATTCCTCTATTGTAGGGCCGCTTGAGGAGTTGATTCTGTTCCAGGAAGAACGAGCGCGGGGCAACGCCAGCGAGATCTCTTTCACGGACGATGATTCGATTTCGGTGTGGCCGTCGCCGTGGAACACCGCTGAGGCTTTCTTCGTTCGATAAATGCCCGGAGATTTCGGTGGATGGACAGCTTCCGTTCACTCTCTAGTCGTGTCGTATCAATCATTCGATTTAGGAATATGGGAGATTGACAGTTGGCTTTCTCGGAGACGGGATGGGTTGAGATACGGAAGACGTGCCAGGGCAGCTGCCTAGACAGACGGCATCTCTTGGACTCCAGGTCATCCGATCCGGCGCTGTTTTTCCACCCGTGCGCCAGTATTACTCTTGGAGTCGAATATTTTCTTTACGACCACGAGGTGACACTTCACTTAGCTGACGGATATAATATAAAAAAAACTCGATAATATTTTTTTTTTTTCAAGCACCTCTAGCAGCCTCCCCCCTAGTTCAATACCCTCCTTCCTTATTCATCTTATGTTTTTCTCATCGATAGATACCTGTTCCTACAACGGCTTCCCGGATAGAAAAAAGAAGTAACTGACTGTCTGTGACAAAGCATCGTCCTAGCCCCAAACCCGATCCATATCCATAGCAAGCAAAGCCACCGACGCTCCTTCTTTGCACGAGAGTGGTAGCTCTCGTATCATCAGTTAAGTACCCAGGTAGCAATATCACTGGCTGTATGATACTGCTACAATGACTACTAGTATGTGTCTACGAATGGACAGGCGGGTACTACTTTACTTTACTTTACCAGGATCTCTACTAGCGCAGCATAGCTTGATAACCTCTCTCCCCCCCTCCTCTCCTCTCCTCTCCTCTCCTCTCCCCTTTTGAGAAAAAGAAAGGAAAGAAAAGTAAAAAGAGGAAAGTGGTCCGACGAAACGAAACGAATCGGAACGGAACGAAATGAAACCGAAACGAAACGAAACGTAACGGAACGGAACGGAACGGTACGGAGCGGAGCTTAGCCAATTCAGATATATTAATATAAATATAAATACAAACCTAGGCGTGAATGTAAATATATACGAATAAACGAAGAGACGGGGCCGTGGATCTGGAAAGAGAGGAAACCGTCTTCCTCGTTCCGCTTCCGCCTCCTCTGCCTGCGTATGCATATTTGGAAGGGAAGAAAGCAAGAAAGGTAAGGCAAGGAAAGGCAAGGCAGCTAGCACAAATAGAGGTCGCAGAGAGAAGAGCGAGGTAAGATCATATATGTATATGTATGTGTGCGTGTATCATGGGCACAATGAAGATTGAGATGAGATTGGTTGAGAAAGAGGGAGCGAGCTGCTGGCATTTGAATTCGAATTCGCATTCGCATTCACATACGAGAGACTTCACACGGTGGTGTCAGGCACAATACTCTTATATATACAACACAGTAATCTCCTTCTACGCCGTCGCCAGACACCCAAAACGCCACCGTTCACGCACATACATACAGATTTCTGTCTCCGCTTTCGTATCATTAGGTAGATGTAAAAAGTGCATCGATTCGGGCCTGCTCAATCCCAGTACTTGATCGCCCCGTCCAGCCCCGCCGTAACGACCTTGCTCGTCTCCTGCGGGTGCCACTCCACGCATGTCACCGCCCCGTCGCTCGCCAGCATCTTGTGCCACATCTTGCACGTCTTCCAGTCCCAGAAGCACACGTACCCGCCGGTGTCGCCGCTCGCGACGAACTGCCCGTCGGGGCTGCACGCCACGTCCACCGCGTATCCGGCGTTGTTGTGCCCCTTGAACACCTTCTTGCGATTCTGGCGGAACTTGTCGTTGGCGCCGTAAACGAAGATGTTGTTATCAGAGGACTGGAAGGCGACGTATTTGCCGGACGGGTGGAGCGACGCCCGCGTCATGGGGTACATGTGTGGTTCTGCAATGTATTTGATGGGCACGGGGATGTTGTAGTCCCAGGCGCGGAGAGACTTGTCGTCGGAGGTAGTCATGAAGCGGCGGTTTTCGTCTACGAAAGTAATCGTGTTAATCGCTGCGAGATGGTGATCGTATTCTTGCACGATTTCTCTGGTGCGGACATCGAATTGCACGATTTTCTTGTCGGACATGCCGGCCAGAAATTCGTTCGCATGTGCAGGGTCCGGGTTAAATCTTACAACATGAGGGGTTTTACCCGTAGTGAATCGATTTACGCACTGCCCTGTCTCTGTATCCCACAGCTTCATCATGCGGTCATATGAAGCCGACAAGAACTGAGTACCAGAGGGATTGAACGTGACATCCGCCAGCGCCTTCGTATGGCCCGAATACGTCCGTAGCAGCTCTTTCGAATGATACACATCCCAAATCTTGACCGTCGTGTCCGCACTCCCAGACAGCATAAGATGTCCTGAGCCAGGGAAAAACCTGAGTCCGCAAATCTGCTTGGTATGGCTTTTCCATGTGTGTACCAGCTTCTTCGGCACGTAATTCTTCGTGCTGCCCGGCTCCTTCCGTAAATCAATATCCAGATCCTGCGGAACGTGCATGTACGATCGGCCCTGGTAATCATACTGTTCGCTGCCCTCAAACTTCGACGTCTCGGCGCCTCGCTCCTCGGCCTCTTTCCGTTTCGCAATAGCTTGAGGTAGCGCAGGCACGACGGCGCCGCTCAGTATGACGTCCTCCTCGTCTGTGACCTCCTCGTACTCCTCCCCACTTGCCAACCCGTCTCCTTCCTCGACGTCCTCGTACTCCGCCTGCTTATACTTCGCCCACGGACCGACATATGCATTATCGCCTTCCGCGACCGTCGCATCCCCTTTCTTCTGCCTCTTCGCCCGTATCCTAGCAGCCTCTTCCTTCTGTGCCACACCGCCCTGGTACTCTCTGCCCGGTCCGCGCTCCACCGCTCGATGTTGGCTTCTGAAGGTGTGTTCGCTGATATATGTCTCTTCCGCATAGCCCGTGAGAACATTTTTTCGTTTTAGAGAGTTGACTTCATCTTTGAAGGGGTTGGCGGGGCCTTGTGTTGGCCGCGAGAGGTCTTCTGCTGTGTATTGAACGACCTCGTGGTTCTGGCCTGCTGCTTGTCGGACGATGAGGGCATTTTGGGGCGCCATGTTCGGCGGGTAAGCGCCGAAATCTGCCATGTTGGTTGTAGTGATATGAAGGACTCTGTTTTGTTTTCTTGGGATTTTGGAAAATCACTGAGTTGCGACTGAGGAGCGTTGGCGCAAACTGATTTCATCTTACCATGAATATCGAGGTGGTTCAGGGCCTTACGCTAGGAATAACTCTATTCCGCGAGCCACGTGACAATATCAGAATACTTCATAAGCGATATTCCAGCGTCTCTGGCTCAGGCAGATGATGGCTGGCTTCCAGATCTGTGTGCCAGGAAGTTTTTCGACCTACCTTTCGAGGCACTTGGGAGATCTGAAAACCCATTGCGGACCGTTTGAGGCTTCTCACACCGTACCACTGTGATGCTGGAACGCCTGTAGACCGATCGTTCATCACAATTATTATTACTACAAGCAAAGGTAATAGCTCAAAGAAGCTACAACCATCATGCCTGTATCTATCCACGCCAAACGTCACCACGCATGAGGCCTCGAAGTAATGCATGCGCCTATAGCCGCACTGTACAAGACCGCACCTGAAATCCAGCACGAGAATCCCAGCCGCCGTCCGTCATGCCTAGTCGTGAGGAGTGTTTTGTGCGCGATATCCTATCCTCTCATAGATCCGTTCCCCTTCAAGCTTTGCCCACCCAGCCTGCCTTTCAAGCCTCGATCCGCGCAATGAAGCTGCCCACTGTTTACGCCTCGAATTTGTTGTTGATTGACGACTGCAGTCACTGCGATTCGTCGCGGATCAGGGCCACGATCATCGAGTAGAGGTAGAAGAAGAACATGATGAGGTGGAAGCCTAGCTTTATAAAGGATTCCTGCGCACAATCCATATTAGCCCCACTCTTATGGCCAGGCATCCCAGTGCCTAATGTAAAAGCTCCAGAAATGAGGAGCGTACCTTCTTGTGAACGTTGAGTTTTCTAAAGATCTCAGTAGCATCCAGCAAATGTGCGTTGTCAACTATTCTAGAGTCCTGTTAGCCTGGTCCTACACAGCACACCACTATCATTTGCGCGCCCGTGGCTGGAACACCAAAAAAGGGCATTATTTAGGACCATACTTCTTGACATTGAATATTACGAGCGGCAGGTTGAGCAGGAGGGCAACCCAATACCCGCTGACGAGGAAGAGGAAGGTCAGGGCACCGTGGACAGCTGCTTCGGGAACGATGTAGCTGTTCAGGCGATTGCAGAGGTCGATGGGGTTGATGTAGTCACTGTAAAAGCTATTAGCCAATGCTCTGCTTGAGGCCGCTTCTTCTTTGTTGCCCGTCAATTTGGCACAGCTGCTGTCCTTATTGCGCCCCAAGGTCGATTGGGCGTCTGGCAGCCGGTTCTGGAGCTGCGGTAGAGATCGAAAGAGCTGCACGTACCATTCGAGATCGCTGTACATGATTGTGAAGAAAACCTGCAGGAACAGATTGACGGCGTTTATCAGTACCGCCAACAGGTACAGCCAAGCTTCACCAGACATCATACTGGGCAACGAATTGCGCGTTTACGCGAATCTGATCGAATCTGATGAATTTCCTTTTCCCCGGTGAGAAAACTGCGCGTCTGCAGTGTTGAGTGTGTAGTGGTGAGGAATAGGTCAGAGCTCGGGTCGAAAACAGGACAAGGGGAGGAGCCGGAGGATATTTTTGGCGGCGCGGACAGAGTGGGGAAGGGGCGGGAAACTCGAGAATCGAGGTGGCGAGACGAGATGGGATGGTTGGGATGGTTGGGAAAGGACTTCGGGCTTAGGAAAACGCCACGGGAGAGGATGCGGATATTCTTTGGTGAATAAGATAGGGCCCTTGAAGCTATCGCAGTTGTTGAAGACTAGACGTCGAGAATGGTGAAATGTGAAGCTGCAATTGTTCAGATAAGGTACTGGGTACTACCGTACTCTAGCTCCGCCAGGTAAAGCCGGAGCCGATATATAACCAGGATATGGCCTTACATCACGACTACGTGCAACTTGAGAGATATAAGAATACAGATAGGAAAAACGGCTGCATATCAGATAGGAACCATGGCTGTACATCAGATATCGATTTGGATATTCATGTTCAAGGACGAGACTAGCCAGAAGGCGATTTTGGTTTCTATCTTCGAGTACCTAGTTGACCTAGACAATCATAATACCCTTAGACACTGTCACACCTCCTGCGGGGTCCGGATGTCAACCTATCAAGTGCATCCGTTGTCTTCCGTGGAATCGTTTGATGAGACTGGTGTATGCTGGTACTGTATAGCGCCGTCCTGGCATGCTCTATCTTCCGGTCAAAGGCATTATTTCTCGACTAGATCTTCTTATCTCCATTCGTTGCCTCCACTACTGGCATAGCGATCGGTCCTCCGGGAGAATTGGGAAGTCTTGCAGTCAACACCTCAACACCATCAGCCGTCACTAAGAGAGTATGCTCTGCAAAATGTATGAGTAGAATCCAAAGAATGCGGAGAAGAACACATACCAAACTGGGCTGTTCTCTTCCCATCCACCGTAGCACTAGTCCAATCATCGGGCCAAGTCTTATCCCTATAGCTGCCCAGCGCAATCATAGGCTCGATCGAGAAGCACATACCCTCCTTCGCGGCACCCACAGCCTTATTCTTGGCATAGTGCGGGATATTGGGCGGGCAGTGAAACTTATCATTGATGCCGTGTCCACAATATGATCGGATTACACTGCACTTTTTTGACTTGGCGTATTTCTCGATAATGTTGCCGTATTCTCGGAACAGTCCTCCGGGCTTGACAGCTTTGATAGCTTCGTTTAGTGATTCTCGCGCAGCTTCTACAACTCGAACGCTGTCGGGGTCTGCCTTTGCTTTGTCGCCGATGTAGTACGTTTCGTTCAAATCGCCGTGGTAGCCACCATGGTATAATGTGACGTCGATGTTGAGGATATCACCGTCTACCAGGACTCGCTGATCGGGAATGCCGTGGCAGATGATTTCGTTTAGGGACGTGCAAACGGATTTGGGAAAATTGCCATAATTCAATGGCGAGGGATATGACTTTGTGGACTTAGCATTGAGCAGCAGCGCAGAATGTGGTATTTCGTACCTCTCTTTCCAGGCATGCATTGTGCACAATCTCGTCAATGTAGTCCGTGGTCACACCAGGCACAGCCGCTGCCGCCGCAATGTCCAGCACCTCTCTCGCCATCCGGCACACCTTTCTCATAGCCGCCTGGGCTTCCTTATCCAGAATATCAATCTTCGTCCGGCCTGAAAATGTGTTCTCGCTCTTCGGTACACCATCATTCCAATAGTCGGGATGCGGTATCGATTTGGGTACTTTGCGGGGCGCGGAGAGAGGGTAGACAGCGCGCAGAGGACCGGTATATTCGAAGCCGGGGAATGGATCATAGAGACCCGCTGTGTTGGGTTTAGAGACAACTCTCGGGGCTATGAGATTACGGAAGAAGTTACCCTTGGTCTTGTGGATGGCTTTGTGGGAGCTCTGCGACTCGGTCAGCCTGGGAGGATTCGGGAGAGCGCATTTTCTGGTAAGTCATCTCAGTGCAGAGGAGTATAGAAGAACATACCCAACTCTTCTTGAAGCAATCCTGCGAACAGAAAAAGCTGTCCTTTATACCCAGCTTCAGACAGGTCGGACACTGCAGAGTGCCAGCATCTTTTTCGCAGGCCACACCAATGCATTGCTTCGCAGCTTCGGCAGCCATGATCGCGGCCTAGATTTAATGGAGCTATGGTCGCCGGGGAGAGGTAAGAAAGAAAGCACTTAAATAACGGTTCTCAAAAGTCAAGGCGGGGTGAATTGAAGTCTTTTGCTGTGAAGTATTTCTCAGCCTCGAAGCAACATGCATATAAAATACGGAGTATGGTCCTAAGGGGGCATGGGGCCAGGATGTGCAATTATCAAGCCAAGCCACAAGCGAAGCGGCCGCACTCCGGCGTTTGTACCGGTCACCATTCCTCTCCCCCTCCGTTTACCTTTGCCTTTACTTTCTCTTGGTCAATTTTTCATACGCAAAATAACACGAAACGAGAAAATCAAAAAACGACAAGACATATAATGGCTTCGCAGCCGAAGAGGCAAAAGACCGTTGTGGTTGGAGCTGGTCCAGTCGGAGCCCTTGCTGCTTTGTATGCTGCTCAAAGAGACCATGATGTTGAGATATATGAGTTACGGAGTGGTATGTTCTCTTTCTCTTGCCGTTTGCCGCTTGGCGATTGAAATTTCAGTCGGCGTTGTTTTTCAGTCATGGCTTCAAAACTGTCCTAATGCGATTCTGTTTTCTTCGTTTTATCAACTCTCACAATCAGGTATATGTATAGGGTGCCGAAGTATCTTCGCGAAAGCACGGCCAAGGAGAAAGGTCAGTGGCAAAGACTAGTGCCTAGTTCCTAGTGCAAGTCGCTCAGGTTTATCCGATTGCGGGCTTAACAATTGCTAGGCAAAAGTATTCTGAACTTATCTGTCTCTCGTCTAAAATCGTCTCTCCATGAAGCTTTGCTGCTTTCAAGTTGCACTCTTTACACGTCGATTATGTAAATGCATAAGGGTTTTCACTCTTTAACACGTTTCCAGACCTTCGAGACCCGTCGACTACGCCCCTCGGCTTCTCTAGATCAATTAACTTGGCTCTTTCCGAACGCGGGATCAATGCTATGAGACTGTCTGGTAAACCGGATCTCCTGGACAAAGTCATCAGCGAGACGATTCCTATGCGAGGACGGATGATCCATGGCAAAACTCCTTCTGGGCAGTTTACTGAGCAAGCTCAGGACTATGATATACATGGACGGGTACGCCTCCACCCAGCACCACAGCAGCATCGTAGCTCTTGCTGATTTGTCACAGACACTCTATGCTGCCGATCGTGGCGGCTTGAACAAGACATTACTAGACGAATTGGAATCCATGCCAAACGTCAAGTTTTTCTTCAATCATAAGCTCACAGGAGCTGATTTCAAGAAGAATAAAGCCTGGTTCGAAATCTCACCTGCGGATTCCTCTAAGGGAGTTACAGGAACTAGAGCACGAGAAGTCGAGATCGACTTCGATCTCATGATCGGCGCAGATGGAGCCCATTCGGCAGTCAGATATCACCTGATGAAGTATGCTCGCTTAGACTACCAGCAGACCTACATCGACACGCTCTGGTGCGAGTTCTCCATCGAGGCAAGAGACATCGCACCAGGTCAAGAACCTTCAACAAGATTCGCCATCTCGCCACACCACTTACATATTTGGCCTGGCCGGGACTTCATGTTCATCGCGATACCCAGCTTAGTACATCCCCTCTCCTTTTACATATGAAATCCATGCTAAACAAACCCCCAGGATGGCTCCTTTACATGTACCCTCTTCATCCCTTCCTCTCATCTCGCCTCCCTTGAATCCGAGCCCTCTTTGATCCCCACCTTCTTCGATACATATTTCCCGGGCGTCACATCTCTCATTTCCCCTGACGTGCTCATCTCCTCCTTCATAACCAATCCTCACCTTCCCCTCATCAGCATAAAATGCCAACCATACCACTTCGGCTCCTCTGTCGTAATCCTTGGCGACGCCGCCCACGCCATGGTCCCCTTCTACGGCCAAGGCATGAACGCCGGCCTCGAAGACGTCCACGTTCTCTTCACCATCCTCGACTCTCATACCACCCCTGCCCACTTTACCTCCCCTCCCAGCCCGTCAGCCAGAGCGCAAGCGCTAGCCGAGTACTCGAGGCTCAGGACGCCCGATGCGCACGCCATCAATGATCTCGCGCTGGAGAACTACACGGAGATGCGCGCTTCGGTCATCTCGCCATTGTATAAAGCGCGCAAGTGGCTGGAGGAGAATATATCAATCTGGGTGCCGGGACTGGGGTGGGCGACGAAGTACTCTAGGGTTAGTTTTGGGAACGAGAGGTATAGTGAAGTGGTGAGAAAGAGTGAGAGGCAGGGCCAGTTGTTGATGGGTGCGTTGCTTGGAGGGGTGGGAGGATTGGGTTTGATCGGGGTGGTGGGGATCTGGGTGACGATGAAAGGGAGACGGGGGGGACTAGAGGTTGGACGGCTGAGAGAGCTTTTCGGGTGGATGAGTGGTTAGCGGGTGTATAAAATGTGAATGAATATAGGGATAGACTGGTAGAGGCTTGGGATGATATGATAGGATGAAGGAGCTTGTATTTTTAAGTTAACGAATCTCTCCCGAATAAATAATTTATCGCCATCTAGAAGCTCTAGTCCTAAATTCATGCAAGTATCTAATCAGAACACTGATTGTAATTTTAAACTACGCAGCCTCAGACGACTGTGAGACCATTATACTATTTCCTTCTTCCTTCTTCTTTTATGCGTATCAAGCTAAGCGAGTAGGATATCAATACAACAAACTAGTTGATGTCGTCATTCAAGAAAACAAACCACAAATCAATATTAATATCCACTCATATCCTACCGACATTTTAAAGCGAGACGTGACAGCAGATTCCCGATATCTATCACCTACACGTCCAAGCCCTAACCGTCTCACTACGCCCATCAGACAAACCGACCGATCTCTACACAAGGCTCTAACAAGTCTCGCTATTACTAATTGTTTGTTTACATGTAAAGCTGTATCTGCGCACCTTTCACCAGACCAGGAAACCAGGACCTACCTCCCAGAGCCTCCTGTGACTTGTTGGAATTTCGGTTTGCGGCTTCTTGCTGCTTGAGTCTTCGTTAGCGGAGGTGTATATATATATATGTGTATAGCCTACAGCTGTGTTATAGGAGGCGAGCTAGGTAGATAGGTGAATGGGCGCGCTGATAGTAGGACACTTGGTGAGTGAGGGTGTTCACTATTCCATTCAGAGGTTAATGATGGTTTTGTTCACTCGTTTGCTATTTTGTTCATGTCAGGGCGCGCATCCTCTTTTTTTTTTTTTTTTTTTTTTGGTAAAGAACTCTGAGTCGATTCAATGATAGGCCATAATTGAAAGCTGAGATCTGACTTGGGATTCTCCTTGCTTGCTGTGAACTTCGTAGCCAGCGCCTGGACATATCTGACTCGAGAGACGGGAAACAAAGCCCGCGCGAACTGTGATAATATTGTAAAAGTGCCAGCCTCTGATGATAATAGGTAAATTATTGTTAGCACTGTAACCATGCCCTTTTCCCCTGGAAGCAAAATTATTGTACGATGCTCAGCTACGCCAAATTAACCACTCATCCAAACATTAAGGTACGGGATTGCCAAAACGACTCTCGTCTCAAATATCTGTTATAACTCAAAGTTGAAGTTAGCGATCAACAACCCAGGAAGTCCAAGAAAGCATACCAATTTAGTGCGCTGCGATAGTTTTTTTTTATTTTTTTTCGCGAGGCGCGATCAAGCACATTACCATTCTTCCGAGTCTCGGAGCCGCCACAATCATGATCATGGACGGTCCTTGATATTCTTCACCACCAACGGCAAGGCAATAGCCAGACCCCCGGCTAACAGCGCACCATTCAAGATGATCTCGCTGCCCGCCTTGATGTGGTAGCTGTTGACCCGGAAGGCGACAGCTGCGCCAGCAGACTGGACGCCCTTGTAGAAGCCAGCGAGATGAGCCACCTTCTGGGGGTCATCGATGAGGCATCCAATGGCCCTACTACCGTAAGCATGGATCTATCTATCCCAGGCGCTCGCGGGCGGAAAAGTTCATCATACCACATGAGATAGGTGTTGTAGGCCGCCGCCAGGAATCCAAAGGCGGCGTAGAGGATGGCCGAGACGGGATACAGCTGGGCATGGTAGTCCATCTTGAGCACTCCCGTTCCCCACCCGGCAACCTTCATGTCCCATATGTAGGCCGCGGTCCACACCCCGCAGGTCTGCACGACGAGGATGCAGAGGGTCAATCTAGCCCGGGTACTCTGGCGCATCCATCTGAGCTCCAGCAGCCAGCCTGTCAGGTACCCGCTTGCGATCTCCGCGAGCCAGTAGACCACGTTGTTGAGGGAGCGGGTGCGGATGTCGAAGTTGGGCAGGTTGAAGGTGTTGAACTGATACGGGTAGAAGAAGTTGCTGGCGAAGAACATGGGGAAGAGCAGGAGAATGTACCAGTCCGAGTACAGAGCCTTGAAGGACTCGTGCATCTCTTCTTTCCACGAGCTGGTGTCTGGGAGCGAGACATAAGTCCCATCTTCTCGAAGTACATTCTCAGGCTTCCGGAGGACCGTCAGGGCGATCAGAGAGCCAGAAAAGGCGAGGGCGATGAAGGCGATGAATGTTCCATCATCGACTTCGTTTGCCGGGGAGTGGAGATTTTGAACTAGTGAAATCTAATTTCTGTGTTAGTCTAAGAAAACGGAAGCTGGTATTGCGGAGCATGGGCGCAAGGATGAGATGAAAGTGTTTGTTAGTTGGACGAGAAAACTTACTAAGCTGCCGATCACAGCACCTGAGTTGTAGATACCAAGAAACGATCCGATCGCCCTCCCTTTCTTGCCTGCTCCAGGGTATGAAACGGTCATGAAGATCTGGATAGAACAATATTCAGCACCTGCTCTCATAGGGCACCCGGTGGTCAATCCATGAGAAATTAACCTATGGGGCTTACTTGAGCGGCCCAGAAGATACCAGCACAAATCCCCAACAGCAAGCCCGAGAAGATCAGGAAACCTTCATTGGCAATTTGCTTGTAGCAGAAGAGACTACCTGTATAAAGAGCATAGCCTAATCCCCCAACTGCAAGGCAGACACGAGGGCCAAGCTTGTTGACAAAGATACCGGCGAAGAATCCCATGACTGAGAACGTGGAGTATAGAGAAACATTAGCATCATTGGAAGGTCCTGAAGCAAGAAGTCCGGCGCCTGTAGCAAAGTCAGTAGAAAACTCGAAAAGCTCCCCAAGTTTTAAGAAATGTGGGAGAAGAGTTGAAGACAAGAATCGGAGCCGTACCGCCGATACCATTTAGAGCATTCCACATCCCAGGACCCAAGAGACAGATAATCGAAACGAGGATCAACTGATACCCAACAGTCGAGAAGTTCTTCAAGAAGCCGCGTAGTCCCGAAATACGGTCAGAAGTTCCAGGAGATTCGGGGCCGGAAGGAGCCCAGGTATCAGCATCGACGCTGGGAAGTCTATCAAGGGGAGTTGCTGGCATCAGGATTTCGCCATCATTGCCGACTTCAGCAAGCCTCTTACTTGAAGGGTAACGACCAGACTGTGGACGTGTTCGTTCAATGGTGATTAAGGGATGAAGCACGAGCTCGATAGACGATGCATCAAGAGAGCCGTCCAAGGAATTTTGGGGTTCTTTCTCTCCACCACCTTCCTGGACAGGAAGTAGATCAAAAGACATGATTTGTTGATTTTTGAGGCTTTTCTTGACGATATAATGAGCAGCGACTATGTTTTTCAAAAAAAGGATTGATATGGCAATATACGCGCGAAGTTGACAATCCTAGATTGAGAGGGTTGCGAAAGCTTTCTTCCGCGTATCGAAGAGGATAATAAGAAGAAGTGAGAGATGAGACAGATGCTTTTCAAAATTTCTCATCCCTAGAGGCCGAGATGGAGCAGTGAAAGGAGAAGACGAGCAGAAAGTGAGTGAAGTTGGAAATCCGGTTCAGGGGCGCTAGTGCTTGCTTAGCGAAGTGGTGAAGGTAGGAGTCTTTTCGAGCACTCTCATGCCACTCTGCCAAAGTGCCATGCCCAAGTACCGCCGACTCGCCGAGCCCATGGCGATTTGGCATCTTGCCGCTCAATTCCTCGATCATTGATCTATTCTACCGCCTCGGCTCTTACCTCAGTATATTGAGCGGCAACGTTCCGTTCCCAAGTCCATGCCAAGATCCCTCCTTTGTACCGGTCCAGAGCCCCATGACATAGGACGACAATCTTGTACCTTCTTCTATGAAGCTTCTAGGGCCAACTGAGAGTGTACTTTCTTGGCGTCGCCGTTGTGTTTTTTCTCCTGTATACTTCCGGAAGTACAAAGTCGTACCCGTTGCATTAAGCCATGTGGGAATCGAAACTTTAGATGGAACTATTGCGCTGATTGTAGCCTGGTAGTGCTTGCCGGTCATACTGTTATACGCAACGGCAAGGCTTATTCCTGTGCCATGATGGTGCACTTGGGTACAATTCGACTTGTCATATCTTATCAGTGAGGACGTCACTGTAGACGGGTATGTTTCTATGTATATCAAGGAAAATATGCCAATATCAGGAGTCACACGTACGAGATTTTCAGATTTCTGAGTGACCAGAGCCATGCCATATCCTATCGGAACCCATACCTGTCAAGCCGTTGAGCTGGTTGAGCCGCTGCAACCAGTGACTAAAGCCAGGAGGTATGAGCGCTCAGCAAGTTCTGGAATCTCGTGAATAAGATATGCTCATGTTTTGAGAGTACAAATGCCTTTCGTACTCTAAGATTTCTTTCCAGGGCGATTTTCTGTTAGCCCAAAACGAGAAATTGGCGTTATATTTGAGGGCTGTTGGTGCTCTCTCTTCTTCTCCTGATAACCGATTACTCCTTCGCCGCTGCTGTTACCAGGCGAAGTTCCGTTGAACACAGAACACAATATTACACAATAGACTGCCGCCTGACCGATTGCAGATGGTGTCTTGACGTGGTAGAGAGAAGCCGTTGAGAAATAAGCTTCCTATGTCTCAGACATTTCCGATCACGTGGAGTTCCAACTTCGCTTCATGGATTTCGGAGTCCTTAATTTTGTTTTGAGTACGTAGTATAAGCCCGATGGTCCAAAATAACGGCATATAATGTAGTCAACATACCGAGGAAGCTGTTATGTATCAATGTAGCGTGAGGGTTTGGCAAAGGATTAAACACGTTCTTATTCTAACTGCTGTTATGATCACGTTTTACTAGTACGAAGACGCTACTTGCAAGGGTTGAATGCTGTTTCAACCTCATCACCAGCTTCGTCCATTCTTCGTTATCGACACTATTCGTAAACAAGCATCAGCGACGACCCGCTCATTTCACGCTCTCCGCACTCGCTGATAAGTAAGGGCTTCTAAGCCTGACGAGAAAGCATCGTTGGGGCGTCAAATAATAAGCAATCCGTATATTCTTTCAGGTCTAACATCGGTTTCTCTACAGTCCCAGACTCCTATGCTCACCGATTCGGCTTCGCACTCTCGCTCCCGTTCTACTTCACTCAGCAAGTTCCCTTCTGCGCTTAGAATCGAATACAAGGTTACGGGAGTCCTCATCCGGTATCCAGGTTTCCCTTTCACAAGAGCTCCAGCGGCTCCAGCGGCTTGACATATTTTCTCTCTGTTTTCATGGCACAGTTTCGCATTCTTACGCTGAATGGCATGCGAAAAACAAGTAGCTGGTATCGGCGAGGCAACCGGATAGTTGAATTTTGTCCGTTTTCTGTACTGCAAGGAGCTAGTGGCAAAGTGGTACAGTTACGCTCAGGGACGTGAACTTTTGTCAGCAGGTCAAAGTGACGTCGAGTTCTGTCTGCCTAACATGGCTGTTCGTTTCATCAATTTACGCGGAGGGGGAGAGAGAAGTGTTGGTCGGGCCTGACCAGTTGTCATGAGCTACGAGAACCGAGTGAGAGCCAGAAAAGCGAATGGTTCCATCTCCATACGAGTTTGTACGAGTAAGATAGTAGTGCTATCTGTACCGTATCACTATTGGCAAGACATAATTTGATATTAGCAATTTATCATCATACTATCGAATTCGAGGCTTAGTAACGTACCTCCCGTCAGCATGCCGGTAGCCGTTAGTGCTATGGTACTGGCTGTAGTCGGCGATCAGCTCAAATAAGCGTTCCGGAGCCGAGTTCCGTTACCCCAGACCTTGATACAACCTTGTTTACTGTACAGTACGAAGTAAAGTACGGCACGGGGTCGAACATTTGAGTGTCAAGGGCAGCTTATAACCAGATTCATCATTGGCTTGCGATCAAGAAAATTTCATTTTGAGTTTGATTTGGGCCGACTGTCGTTCTGTCGAGGTCGTTAAATGGAGCAAATGCACGCGGAAGAACTGCTTGATTTCCGCGTCAAATCATTGAAGCCGATCACGTCATTTCCTTTACTGTACTTGCGTCTATTCAGCCTGAGGTATCTCTCTATCCTTGGGATACACTTCTACTACCTATCCCCCCCTCTGAATAAATGTCGGACCTAGTTTAGCCCTATGAATCTTAAAGCGGTGGTTCTGAATAGCTCAAACCTTATCAATTCTATTGCACAGGCTAATTACTTGCTTAAAGATACTCTTTAAGTCTGAATTGTTATAGGTTTATTGGTTCAAGCCCTGGTCTAAGACTCACCTGCACATGCTCTCCCCAGAATTAATTAGCCTAGGTCTCTTTCCTGCGTCTCGTCTACAGAGTACTTGTAGCACGTACAGTACAGTAGTAGCTGTTTCTCTCCAGGAGTCCAGGCGCATTCACATTAGTGATTTAAGACTTTAGGCGAGAGCCCATATGCTCGGCCCACGGGATCGATAAGGTTTTCCGGAGGTACAGCGGCCAAGTTTTCTGACCCATATTAGAGACTTAATTGAGCAATATCTTTACGCTTCCCCGCTTCTTGTCACTGAACCCGATAATACTTCTACAATTTTCGTAGTATACTCGATAGGAAAGGTTTATTTTGATTTTTATGTTTTATAAATTTCCCCTCAGCCTCGCTTACAGCCTAATGATAATAACGTATCGTACGAAGTTAAGTCTATGAAAATAAAGATTCGAACGCGTATCGCGTTCAGCGATACAAAGCGAAGGACCGTCAAGGTACTGCTCGGTTAAGCTGGTTTCCAAGGTGGGTCGGAAAACGTCACCACTGTACCCCCTCATACAGTAAAGTTGACCGCTCTTTTCCGGATGGGCTTCGGAGTTGATTGCTCCGAAATTGGCTAATGCCTTACTATCCCCTCCCATAAACAAATGTCGGACCCAGTTTAGCCCCATAAATCGTGAAGCGGTGCTTTCTGAATGGCTCAAAGCCCTGTCAACTCAACTGCACAGACTAAATACTGGCCCAAAGGTACTTTTAAGGCTGGATTCTTACTGTATAAGTTGATTGGTTTAAGCCCTGGTAAGATCCTTTGCGAAATTACCACGGTACAGGCCTAAGTATTACCCCTCGAGGGTGCCTTAAAGGTTTAGTTTACACTTTAAACCCCCTGTTTTCCCTACCCTCGAGGGGTAATACTTACGCCTGCGACGTAGTATACTTTCGACATGAATTTATGGTGGAGGGGGGGAGTACTTACTGTACAAGTACTACGTAGTAGTACAACGGTAGCTGTACTTACCACGGTACAGGCCTAAGTATTACCCCTCGAGGGTGCCTCGAAGTCTAGTTTCCACTTTAAACCCCCTGGTTATCCTACCCTCGAAGGGTAATACTTACGCCTGGGACGTGATAATTGGCCTATTACTCTCTCCTCTTATGAATACATAGTAGAACTTATCGGAGGTATAATTTTGCCAAGGATCTTATCAAGTCTTATTATATTTATAAGTAGAATGATTTTGATTCAAGGAGGGCCAACTGGAACAAACATACTATGTATACCGCCCCCTTATACGGGTTGAAAAGTCTAATTATATCTTTTACTTTCTCCCCGCTGAATAAATGTCGGACCCAGTTTAGGCCCATAAATCATAGAGCGGTGGTTTCTTAATGGCTCAAAGCCCTGTCGACTCCACTGTATAGACTAAATACTGGCTCAAAGATACTTTTCAAAGCTGAATCCTTATAAGTTGATTGGTTTAAGCCCTGGTAAGATCCCTTCCGAAATTATACTTTCGACATTTATTCATGGGGAAGGGGGGAGAGTGAAACCCAAAGGATGTAAGGAGGCCTACTTAAGCGAGCCGACGATCATGTACTACGTCGCAGGCGTAAGTATTACCCCTCGAGGGTACGGAAAACAGGGGGTTTAAAGTGGAAACCAAACTTTTAAGACACCCTCGAGGGGTAATACTTAGGCCTGTACCGTGGTACTAGTATTGCTCGTATTTTTTATGCTTGTACTTGTATCAGCGATAAAAGTATATATACGAAATTGCCGAGCCACTTCGCAGTCATAGCTATATAAGATAACCAATTCCTCTTTGAGTTTTCATTTTTATTATATAGCATTATTATAATGCTCTATAATCTTCTCACAAACTCAATTCGTTAAAACGATCACTTTTATTCACCAACTCTATTATGCGTTTCAATAACAACCTCTTGCTCGCCTCTTTCTTCGGCGTCGCATCCGCTTTCCGTCGAAGCTGCAGGCCCGATACTACTAGCGACGTCACCGGCCTCGGCTTTTACACCGTATTAAACACCGACACTTTGGCCAGTATCGCGGCGGACTTTTGCACCTTTGCCTCAGAGCTGCAAAATATAAACCTTACCCCCCCGATCGCTACGGAAAACTTTCTAAAAGTTCCTTGCAGAGCTCGAAAGCGCGATTGCTCTAGGATCCCGGGTAGTGAAAATGGGTATTATACGGTCGTCGACGGCGATAACTTAACGATTATTGCGGCAGATTTCTGCACAAATGTCAAGGGTTTGAGGCTTCTAAACACCGACGTTATGGAAAATACCGGCAAACCCACCCCTGGCACGGTCCTCGAAGTTCCTTGCTCTTGGAATTAGCTACAATACGTAAAGGCTTTATCCGCTCGCTCGCTTTGCTTACTGCGGGGAATTGGCGACGAAATAAGTTGTAAATTAGACTTTACTCTAGAGTTGAAATCTCTTAAGCAGTTGAACTGCTCCTTTTATCTTCTTTAACAATAAAGTTGAGCTCAATGTATTTCGAAAAGAAAGAAGACAATGGACAAGGACTAGGTTTCTTTCTATAACATGTTAAGGATTTAATTGTCAATATATAAAAACATACGTAGTACGTAGCAGCCTTACCGTCCCCCCCGCCTCTGATTATATGTCGAAAGTATAATTTGGCAAGGGTTCTTATGAGGGCTTGATCCGGTCGATTATTTCCTATGCCTCGAAGAAAGTGGAGTTGTTTTTCCTATGCCTCAACCCACTTTTTGAATGGGCCGCCCAGCCAAATCTACTTGCTGCTCTATGCAAGAATATCTTCTATATCGATACGTTTCTTCTATTATACCGATACCGTAGCTTCCTTAGTTCGAAGGATATAATAGTTGCAACGAGCGCGCTATTTGTATGTATCGTTAAAGTAGCATACCGATACGTATCTTATATAAGTCTTCTCGCTATTCGGACACTTAGCCTCTTATCGCTCGTAGATAACCTAATTAAGTATACGTCTTTAAAAGCTTTCATATTATAAAATACATCGCTTTGCTAGATTGAAACAAGTTTCTCTTGAATAGCTTTGAGAAATAGATCTGTATCTATATTAAAATCGAGTATATCGAAGCCGAGGTCGTTGAATATAGCGTTTAAAGATTCTAATAAAGCATCTAAAGTAGCGTCGATAATAAGGATTTCCGCTATTATAGCTAAACAAATCGCGATAATAATACTAGAATTGCAATTATATACTATCCCCCCCCATGAATAAATGTCGAAAGTATAATTTCGCAAGGAATCTTACTAAGGCTTAAACCAATCAACTCATAAGGATTCAGCTTTGAAAAGTATCTTTGAGCCAGTATTTAGCCTATACAGTGGAGTTGGCAGGGCTTTGAGCCATTAAGAAACCACCGCTCTATGATTTATGGGCCTAAACTGGGTCCGACATTTATTCATGGGGGGGGATAGTAGAATTCTAGTATAAGCGGCATTACTGAAAAATGTTCTTGTATAAAGCAGCGAGTAGATTTGGCTGGGCGGCCCACTCAAAAAGTAGGTTGAGGCATAGGAAAAACAACTCCACTTTCTTCGAGGCATAGGAAATAATCGACCGCTTGAGCCAGTCAACTTATTACTACGTAGTACGTACAACGATCCAGCCGTGAAAAGTATTGCTAAGCAAGTACTACTATTTGATCGGCGCAACAAAATTGATCAGGCTTTGCGGAGTAAGCCTTTCAGAAACGACCGCTTTACGCATGATTTATAAGGATAAACTGGGCTCCGATATGTATTCGAGGTGGGGGAACTGTAGCACTTCTTGACCTGGCACCTGCTCTACCGTACCAGGAGCTTTGCTTCCCCAGGCAGTTGAAGAGACCCGGTGACCATACCTACGGCCTCCTCGAACACTGGACGACGAAATAGCAGTGGGAGCTAGCGGGGTAGATTCGGAAATGCCTTCAATATTATGCGGAATAGTATATCCGATCGCCGGCTTGGGATGCGGCAGCAGTGCAGTGAACCTTTTTGACTTTTGGTTGAAGCTGGACCCTTACTTAGCTACAAGGCTTACCATACACAGCAAGCATTTTGCGGATGGCCGAATGCCTGTCTTAAGTACAGTATAGTAATATAAACGTATAGTACGTAGTACTACTAACACAAGCGCACATGGTCAACCCATTCACTTCTACAAGGGCTTACCATCGAATCAGAAATCCTCTTGCTGTTGTAGGTATGCTTATTAAAGTGGAGACGAAGCAAAGTTGGGTAAACACTCTGGTAGCTTCTCCGTATCGAGGTTGCCCCCATCCCTATTTTACGTATGGTTTACGTAGCAGTCTGCGGAAGTCGATCTTGCTTAAGCTTGCCCTCTCCCAACTTGTCCTATTGCGCATCATCACAATGCTCGCCAGCTCCATCGACGCAGCGACTTTGCTGTCGGCGCTTGCCTCGTCGGCTTTGATCTACGTACGTTCAATGCCCAACTGAACACAATCTGGGAAAGAAAAAATCTGACAGATGAGGCTGTATAGACGATCAGTCTGGTCATCTACCGTCTCACCCTGCACCCGCTCGCCAAATATCCTGGGCCATTCCTTGCGAAGATATGCGACTTAGATAACTTCTACCATGTCTGCCGCGGCGATCGCCACACGAATTTTTTCTATTGCCACGAGAAGTACGGACCAGTATACCGATATGGGCCAAATCGTCTGTCGTTCAACACCGCAAATGCGTTGCATGATATCCATGGGCATAAAGCCAATGTCCAGAAGGCGAGACTCTATAGTGCATTCGTGCGAGGGACGGCTGTAAGCACGTTAACGTGTGTTGATAAGGTGCGGCATGCGCAAAAGAGACGCGTTATCAGCCACGCATTCTCGGAAAGGGCGCTTAAGAGCATGGAACAGTATGTCCTTGAGCCCATCCGGGAGTTCTGCACTATCCTCCAGCAGAGCGGTGGGAAAGAGGCACTCAACATGGTAGCTCACGTCTCCGCACATCACCGTCCCCTTGCCTCTTGCGGGAATGGATATAGCTAACACCTCTCAGGATGACTGGGATACGTATCTCTTGTTCGATATCATGGGCGCTCTCGCATTTGGCCGCTCTTTCAAACTGCTTACATCGTCCGAGAACCGCTACGTGCCCGAGGTCATGCACACTGGTACCATCTTTGGAAATATCAACGGAAATGCTCTCTGGGCTCATTACACGGGCATCTCCAATCTTCTCATGCCCCAAGGCAACGCTGACCGCAAAGCCTTTCGCGCGTACGCCCAAAAAGAGGCCAGAGATCGCATGGCACTCGGAGCCGAGGGGACCGACCGCAAGGACTTCTTCCATTACTTGATTGAAGCCAAAGACCCGCAGACGGGAGAGGGCTTCACGCTCTCTGATCTGTGGAGCGAGGCCAACCTCATTCTCACTGCCGGCAGCGACACGAGCAGTACCGTCATGTCGGGGACCTTCTTCTACCTCACGCACAACCCGACGATCCTCGCTACCGTGACCCGCGAAGTCCGGGATGCGTTCGCGGGCGGCCAAGTAGAGGACATCGTCTCGGGGTCCAAGCTAAACAGCTGTGTATATCTGCGGGCCTGTTTGGACGAGAGCATGCGCATCTCGCCACCGGTGCCTGGCCCGCTGCCGCGAGAAGTATGCGCCGGGGGTGCCATGATCGACGGCATCATGGTCCCGGCAGGCATCGATGTCAGCGTCGGCACGTGGGCGATCCACCACAACAAAGACTACTACCCGTCACCACACACGTACAACCCCTCGCGGTGGATCGCGTCCGACTCGATCCCCGCGTCGGCCGGCTACGCCGGAGTCGCGAGAGCGGACGTCGAGAAAGCGCAGCGGGCATTCGCCGCCTTCAGCCTGGGACCGCGCGGCTGCATCGGGAGGAACATGGCGTACCTGGAGCTGACGCTGGCCATGGCCCGGGTGCTGTTCTTGTTCGATCTCGAACTGGCGAGCACCCTCGGCGAAGGCGGTCCCGGAGGGGAGTGGATGACCTGGGACCATTTCAATGCTTATAAAGAAGGGCCGGTGCTTCGCTTCCTGCCCCGGAAGGTGTAGGAAAGAGCAATATATCTACAGCCGATGTACTCGTGTGGCCAGCATATCTATCCCTACAGTAGGATTGGGTTAAATAATCGATAGTGGGGTCATTCGTTATTAATTAAATTCAACGCCTTCAGCCCGTTATTCGTGGTTCGGTAAACACGTGACCGGAATTATTATTAGACCGGCTCTGGGCTAATAAGAAGCCTCCAAGGCGAAAGGTCACGGAGATTGGCAAGCATTCGAGCTCTACTCCGTAACTAGCGATGGAAGAGATATAATTGAATGTAGAAGATCTAAACCTGGTGGAACGGGAGATGGAAGATGAACACGTGGAATGCTATAGGACTATTATTATCAAGTAAGTTGACGTAAATGGCAAGCAGCTTACGTAATATCAAAGCGAGCTTAGGAGTGCACCTACCAAGGTATATACGCGCAATTGAGAGTTCACAGAATTTAAAGAGGCGTATTTGTTTGAATGATTTGAAGTTCGAAATAATAGTATATTTCTAATCTTCAATTGTTAGTACCGGTACTTCAATCACGTTGTCTGCCATTTTGGGATTCTGCCTCCCGTCACCACGCGCACTTTTAAATGACCAATCAATTCCATTCGCTAAAAAAGGCTATTTGCATTTTTTCATGAGGCCACATTCCCCCTTATAGGGGAAGGAGCTCTCCGGTAATACAAAGCTTCGCAAGCTCGCTTTGATCATCATTTAACCATGCTTTAATGTGGTAAGCTAGCTAGCTATTTTAAATGTTTTCTTGGCGAGTCACTCGCGATCTTTTCCCGTTATTATTTGATGAGGGAAAGCTCGCTATTGCGTAATTAAATCATTACAGTTACCTAGCGCAGCCCTGTTTTTGAACGGCTTAAAAGCCTTGTCAACTTCATGGCATAGACCATAGAATTATTTATAACTGCTTAATTATTTCGCTGTTTACTTGATTGAAAATTCTTTGAATACCGTCGACGAGGTTAACGTACAAATTTAATCGCGTTTTAAAATCTCATTAACTCCTAAACTTTTTCTCAAAACAATCGTCGGTTACCTTGAATTTAATTTGTAAAAAATCCCGACCTGGCGAAGCAGGGCGGGACAGTAACGGTATACTATTTATTAAATAACAAGTATTAATGTAAATATATTAAAAAAAAAATTGTATGCTCAGAAAACTTTGTTTTAAAAATCTCAATTAAAAATATAAAAATGCAATCATTTTTGGTGATATAATACATTGAAATGTAGTGAAAATATTAAGTAAAAACCGTTTAAAATGATTCAAATTTACTTGTTTATTGCGAATATCTTAATAATTACAACCTTAATTAAAAAAAAAAAAGTCTTATAAACTAAAGATAACTAATTTAATTTATTCTTTTACTGAAGGTATTAATTATTAACTCAAAGTTGGTAGTGATACACGTATTTTTTTAATGGGTTTGAATAAAAGTCCGATTTTCGTGTTCCTCGCTTATTCTAGTATCTACACGGCAATTCTGATATAATCGTCGGCTCGCTTAGGTGGGCCGGCCTCCTTACATCCTTTCAGTCTTAGTCGGCGTAAGCGATTGCGGATCGGAAGCGAATTAAATCGTCTTTTATACAAGCTCGTCTTTTCGTTAGAAGATTATTATTAAAATAAGACCGTTTTAATCGATTAGCTCGTCATTTATAAAAGTCGGTTCTTTTACGAAAAGATCGTTTTAAGACCGTCCTATAGCCTTCTTATGGCCGTCCTAAGGCCGTCCCCGAACTTGAAACCGTCTCGAGGAACGTAAATTAGTAAGCATATCATCTCTTTTTCCTTTCAATTACCTGCTAGTCTACCCTCTGCTTATTACACTACTTTTTTAAAAGTTGACGAGGGCGTTTGAACGAGGGCAAACTTTTGCTAAATCGATCGATTTCGATCATAAAAGATTTAAAGCGTTGATATACCAGCCGTAGCAGCGATACCAAGAAATATCTTAGCATCGAATTTATTAAATTATTATTAAGACGATCATATTTAAGAAATGATTATTATCTATAACTATATCTTGTTTGAAATAATTATCGAACTATTTCAATTTTTTAGAGCGAGCTTATTAATAAGCTTGTTTTAAAAATATGGACGGGGACGGCTCCAAGACGGCCATAGGACGGCCCCGAGCTCGGGGATGATTAAAAAGATGAATTATTCTTAATTTGTAATTAATACTGATTTTGAACGGTCTAATAACCGTCTCTTGTAAAAGAGGATCAAAGGACCATCCAAATGACCCCTTACTACCCTTTAGGGTAGTTAAAGGGTAGTACTCCGACCAGGGGTACGATTAGCTCTTTTCAGCGCGATGTACGTAGTAGCCAGCTATCCTTTGAGCATTCAATCTATAGCAATAGCTCTTCTTAGCCCGACGCAGCCAGCTATCCCTCGAGAATTAAAGCTTCTTCTCGGCCCTCGTTAGAGCGGTGTAGCTAGCTATCCTTCGAGCATTCGATTCGTAGCAATAGCTTCTTACAGTGCGATGCAATCAGCTACCGGTATTCTTCGAGCATCCACCTTTTCCTATTATTAGGCGCTTAATCAAATCTTCCATTTTCCTCGATGGCCCAAGCTCAAGTGGATGCACCCAGTTCTACCCCCTCCCATGAATAAATGTCGAAAGTATAATTTCGCAAAGGATCTTACCAGGGCTTAAACCAATCAACTTACCACGGTACAGGCCTAAGTATTACCCCTCGAGGGTGCCTTAAAAGTTTAGTTTCCACTTTAAACCCCCTGTTTTCCCTACCCTCGAGGGGTAATACTTACGCCTGCGACGTAGTATATCTTTGAGCCAGTATTTATTCTATACAGTGGAGTCAACAGGGCTTTGAGCCATTAAGAAACCACCGCTCTATGATTTATGGGCCTAAACTGGGTCCGACATTTATTCATGGGAGGTAGTTAAACGGTTCCCCCGAATATCACGTGACAATATTCTCAACAGTTATATAGTGAAGTTGACAGGGCTTTGAGCCATTCAGAAACCGCCGCTCGGTGATTGATGGGGCTAATTATATTCTCCACACGAATTCATTGGGGGAGCACCTACCGGCAGTTGGCTAACAGTATTCTTTATTTGACTCTGTATTTGATTGTAGGATGATTTTCGACATGAGGAGCAGATACGCTGGCCGCACGAAATAGAAAGTCCGAATGCGGTGACTAATATTACTTTATTGGATATGACATCGAATAGAAATCAATCAGACAGATACATTATAAGAAGGGGATAGACATCCCTTTTGGCACTTATGTCAGATCCAGATCCGTACCTCTTCTTCCTTTTTCAAGCTTGTTTTCCTTCCTCAACTCGCACTATTGAAAGACTTGTAAGAACACGATGCTACCACTATCGTGGGTTCTCTACCCAATCTTGCTAGTCTTGGGCTTTCTGTTGAATACAGCTCAAACTGAAGAAGTGACCCTCGGTTATCGAACGGTTAGCCCGGTAAGTTCTATATGATCTATAACTATAGAGTACTAACCCCCTTCTCCTTCTACAAAGGGGATGGGGAGGGGTGTGGGGCGGGGGGGCAAGTATAAGGCCTCGCAATCATAGCATCCACCTATACTAATTACGCGAATTATAGGAGGAAGCCGCATTTACCAATATTTGGCGCAAACCTAGCCCTGAAAATTTCGACGCCCCGTTGCCTCACCAGTTAGGTGACGACCATTTTTACATGAGTGAGTTGATTTGTATTTACAGATCCTTACTTACCATTGAAATATTCGGGCTTTACCTTTTATATTCTTGTTGCTATTTCCTCTTCCTAAACCCTTAATCCTAATCACTTGTTGACGCGGAGGAGCTAATGGTCTCGATAGCAAACGTATCTCCTGGCGAGGCATTTCTCCCTGATGATTGGTACTGTATTATCAAAGCGGATGTTAAAGCTCTGAGTACTGTCGGCAAAATATGGATTCCTGAATACTACCCAGTGGCTAGACCAGGAGGACGTTTCAGACTGCGTATGTTGTGGGGAAACCTCGAAAGACGCATCGTAGACTACATCCGGATGTTCTTACCAAACCCCGAGAGGGCCTTACGCTTTTCATGGGTTCAATTTTTCAACGTTTTGCACGAACCGTTATTGCAGATGGTCATTCCAACTCAATTGCTAAGAGAAGATACGTTGCGTTTATGGGCTTATTGCGTTCCTACAGCCGAAATGATGTTAAACTATTCGAGAGTAACGGTTGATTGGCCGACATGGAATATTGAAGGAGAACCTGGGGAAGCACCTATTTCAATAGAACTAATAGACTAGTATAGGCTTTCTTGGGATTTGAACTACGAATGGAAAGCTACGAGAATTTGTTGTGAGCCCTTGGAACATGCTTTGTATTATAATCAGAATTGAATTAGTCAGAAGGGAAAGGCTCATCACTTTGATCAATATCGAACAAGAGACAACACTATCCAAATTATGGTTTTCCCTGCTATCGAGAAGAACCTTGCATGTGTCCGAAAAAAGAAAATAAGAAGAACAACGCAAATACTTCATTATTCCACGTCTTGGTGAAATCATTTAGCCAGCCAGTCAGCCAGCCAGTACCTCCGCTCCGGAACATCCTTGATACACTACAGTTGTATCCCAATAGCGAATATCCAAATAGCGAATTTATAATTGTAGAGACTGGCAGCACTGACAGACGGCTCGGCTAGGAGAACTAACGTGCCATCTATTTGTATTGAGCTTTGATATATCGAGGTCGTCTTCAACTAAGTCGAGGCCGCCAAGGCCGGCATAATGGTACCTACCTTATGCACAGGAGGCGCAAGGAGTCTTGCGGGGCCAGATGAGCGTCTAGTACCAATTTGTATAGCGGAACCATCTCGGGCAGCGAGATCTCCCTACGGACAAAGTCACGATCTTGGCCTGGATATCCGATAGGATGAAGGATGAAGATATGTTTGTTTACAATTACACGCCTGAGAGCCCTGAAACCCCTTCGAATCTACCATCCTCGCTGCCAAAAAATACGACCTTGAGGCTCACCGCGGCAGAGTCTCTTCCTCTTCTTCCTCCTCAAACCTTCCAAGCCTCGACCGGCGTCAAACGGCCGGGCTCATGCTCTCTAGCGTGCTGTACAAAGCGGTCGAGCAACTGTTATGCATCTTCGAAAGAGATATCAGACAAGGGGGGAAGGGGGATTGGCTAACTAATCATTTACTATAAGGCGCTACTCGCCCCAGCAGCCCTGCCCCCTCCTCCTGTACATTGAAATAGGTATGCGTGCCTCAGGGACATCGACTTGGTTCAAGACGACCTCGGTATATCAAAAGTTCTTAGTATCCCAACGTACCAGTATAAGACAGCCAGCTAGCTAATCGTCGGTTTCCTTACATTTCCCTCCGAGAAATTGACCGACGTGCTGTAGCAAGTCGGCACCACCAAGGCAGGACAGTACCGGTATACCACTTATCATTATCAAACAACAACAATCAATTTAAAAAATAACC